ATAAAAATGAGGGCAAATAAGGTAATTGGTTATTGATATTAAATAAGTTGAAAAGAGTTAATTTAAAAATATTCAATGCATTCATTTAAACTATTAACTTTCATTCATGTTCATTGAATCATATATTTAAGTCATTTTTGTTTCTTCTCATTAAGTACTATTAATTAATTAATAAATTAATAATTCTAATAATATAAAAACTTATACTTTTAAAATCTACCTAGCAAAAGTATTATTTTTATCTAGGTGGTGGTAAGAAATTAAATCATTTTGGGTTAAATGGGCTAATCCATGTTGCCACAATTAAATAATAAAATTAAAAAATAGATAAAATGAAAAAAAATAGAAATTAAAAAAATTGAGAAATATTTTAACATACATATTAAACAATAATAAGTATGATAAATAAGAAATATTTTCATTAATGATGAAAATGGAATGCAAAAATTAAAAATAATTGGAAATAAAAATATTTTCCTATTATCTCTAATTAAATCCTATATTTAAGATATATTTTTCTCATCATTAAATTCTTGTAATTAAATTCACAATATTAATTTTAATAATATAAAAATAAATATTTTGAAAAGTAATTTGAAAACAAAACCATTTCCTTCTCTCCCGATGGTGGGTAAGTAATTCAACCATTTGGGGTCAAATGGATTAATAAGTAATGTCATAATTAAATAATAAAATAAATAAGTATGAAATGCAAGAAGTATTTTTATTAATGATGAAAGTGGAATGCCAAATTCAAAATCTACCTAGAGATGAAATGATGTCATAGTCGAATAATGAAATTTTTAATAATAGAAAATACAAAGAATCACAAAAAAAATATAGATAAAATTTTGGGCACATATCTAATGTTATATATTTATAAAAAAATAAAATATTGAGTACATCTCTAATATTGAACAAAAATAAATTTTATTCATAAGAAATAATTTTATCAATGATGGAAATGTAATACAAAATTTAATGTTAACCTAGAAATCAAACAATTTTTATTTTTAAATGTTGGGTTAGTGGTTTGAGTCAAATGATACTATAAACAAAAAAAAGTGTGATAAGTAAAAAATATTTTATATAATGTAAATGAAATATATAATTTAAAAGGAAAATTATAGTCAAAGTCAGTTGTACATTTAAAATTAGGTTGCAAGTTGGTCCGTAAACCAACAAAACTCTAGCAACTAGCTCTACATTTCAAATTACAAAAATCCACGCCATGTCATCGGAGGCTTATGTGGCTGTTGCCAACATGAGACTCTTAATCCATGTTGGACATAGCAAAAAACCTATACCAAAAATAGGTTTTAAGTTTCTCTCCCACTCCCTCTATCTTTCGATCTCCCTCCCTTTTCTCACTCTCACAGTCATCTCTCAATCTCCTGCTCCCTCCATCTCTCCCACTTTCTCAGCTTCGATCTATAGCCAAATCAAAACCTCTCTCCCCCCCTCTCTCTCTTGTTCTCCCTCAATCTTTCTCATTCTTCTCCCTCACTCTCCCTCTCGGTCAATATCTCCTTATCCCTCAATTTCTATCATTTTCCAATTGGTGTAAATTTCATAGCCAAGAGCTTCTTGTGAATTTTTATTAAATTGGTGTAATAAATTTTGGACCACACCAAGTTGGTCTCATGTTCTTTTATATGATCTAATTAATACCATATAAGTGTGTAAGAAAATTAAAAAAAATAAGAGATGGAGTGAGAGATAAACTGAGGGAGAATGATAGAAATTAATGGAGAATGAGAGATTGATCGAGAAAGAGAACAATAGGTAGAGAGAGAAAATGAGAGAACTTGATATAGATAACGTAAATACAGAAAACAAAAACCATTTTTATTTATTTTCAAATCTCATAGTTTTTGAGTAGATAAAGATGACTGTGTGTGTGTAAGAGAGAGAGAGAGAGAGAAACTAAAATTCTTTTTTTTTTGTTATTTTCCAATCACCCAACATTAAAGGGCAAATTCAGTATAAGCTTTTTTTGTTTCTAACATGGATTAAGAGTCCCATGTTGGCAATAGCCACATAAGCCTATGATGACATGGCGAGGGTTTTTATAATTTGAAATGTAGAGCCGGTTGTCAGAGTTTTGTTGGTTTACATACCAACTTGTAGCATAATTTTAAATATACAACTAGCTTTGACTATAATTTTTCCTAATTTAAAACTAATCCAAAAGCAAAGTTATTTTCTTATCTAGATGGTGGGTCAACGATCCAACCTTTAAAAAAAAAACATCATGTCATAATTGAATAATAAATATTTAAGTTTATTTTTAATCATATTGTTACTTTTGTTAATTTTCAATTTCTATCTTAACTATGATATATCTAAAATTCGAGTAATTAATATGAAGACAAATTTCTCACGTACAACGCATGTGTTTAATTACTAGTAGAATATAAAATATATGGAGTGTTATCATTGGTTCCACACTCATTAAACAACCATTGCATTCAGCTAGTCCAATATACTCAACTTCATAGAAAATAGAGGAAAAGTATTAAGTTGTAGAAAATACAACAATAAATGAAAAAAGAGAAAAATATAACGAAGATATAAAAATGTGGCAAATATAACAAAGAAAATGAGAAAAATGCTGAAAATTACAAAAGAAAACAAAAATAAAACAATACATTTTGTTATTATGATATTTTTCCTCTCATTTGGTTTACCTGTGAATGGACATTTTAGTAACTTTCCCTTTATTGTCAAGTTCATTAACAAGATAGGGTAAAGTTTTGTTGGGGACTTCGTCACAAATGATAGTTTTGGGTAGTGAAATACATGATGGCGGTTAGAGGTGTAATGCGGGCCATGCCGGGTTGATTCGTACTATTCTATTTTTCATATTTTATTCCTTTCACTTAACTTCAAAACTAGCGGAGGGGCCCCTGTGTTGTAGGGGTTCACTCATAAACTATCAGGCTTGAGCTCGATTCAAATTAGATACTTGAGCTTGAGCTCGAGCTTGGCTCGAGTCAAAAGCTCAGAAGTTTGAGCTCAGTTACCTTTGATTGTAGGTCTCTCAAGCAACCGAGGTGCCGAGCCAAGGTCTTCCTCAATTGCCGAGATGCCAAATCGAGGTCTCCCTCAACTGCTGAAGTGTTGAGCTGAGGTTTCCCTAGCAGGCGAGGTGTTGAGCTAAGGTCTTCCTTAGTTGACAAGGTGCTGAGCTAAGATCTCCCTTAGTTGTCGAGGTACTGAGCCGAGATCTCCCTCAGTGACCGAGATGCTGAGTCGAGGTCTCCCTCAGTGGTCAAGGTGTCGTCTAGCTTGAGCTCAATTCGAATTAGACTTGAGCTTGAGCTTAAGCTAAGAAGTTCGAGCTTGGCTTGGCTGATACTCAACTACCTTTGATTGCAAGTCCCCTAGTAGTTGAGATGTCGAGTTGAGGTCTCCTTCAGTTGGAGAGTGGCATTCTTGTAATTTATAAGGAGAGAGAGATGATATTCTTGTAATTTATAAGAGAGAGAGAGAGTTGGTAGGAGAGAGAGTGTCATTCTTGTAATTTGAAAGAAAAAAAAGCAAAAGATATAGAGTTGGTAGGGAGTGGAATTCTTGTAATTTCTAAGGAAAAAAAGACAAAAAAATACTGTTAGATTCCATTTCCCTTGTCCTCATGCCTTCTTACGTACATTTCAGCTTAATATATTTATATAGATATTTAACACACACTTTTCACTTCAAAAAGGCTATGGCGCATGTTGGGTTACGGGCCAAAATCCCTTGGCCCAACAGGTCTAGGGGGGTCATGCCTTGCCTAACTTGGCCCATCACTGTAGCTAGCGGGACTGTTGAAGTGGACACCTTTAACGGTGATATGTAATTTACTAACATAAATTCAGAACTTGCTAGAATGATCATGCCCAATGTCCCATCCATGCATGCGAGTTCACATCTTTGCCCCACAACACTCTCGCCGTGTATTGGGAACATCTCCCAATGATAGTACCAGAACCAATGATGTTATTATCGGGAGATGTTCTCAGTACATGACACAGAGATGTGTACTCCATGCATCCATATCTCGACATAACTCCATGAAGATGAAATGCGACTATACCCCTCCAATGATTTACAATAGTTTTTTCCCCCTCCATGCCAAAAAAGGAATGAGAATGAATCATATGGATATGGATATGAATTTGGTCATAAAAGACCATCCTATATGGTATTAAAATATATATTTGAATTTTCCTTATTTTATTTTCTTCTCTTTTTTTCTTTAATCCCTAAGGCTGTGTTTGGTTTGAAGGAAAAAGTAGGGAAAGGAAGGGAAATGTAGGGAAACCCTTACAAGCTGTGTGTAGGTTTTCCTTCCTTTCCCTTCAAACCAAACATAGCCTAATTGACTCAAAATACTTCTATTTTTTTTTTCCCAAAAGAAACCAGCTAAAATAATAAGAATCATTTCATTTACACAAAAAAAGTTTCTTTAAATTATTGTTTTATTTCATCAATATGGTTGTTTTTCTTCATCTTAAAATATAAAAATTATTCACTAATTTCTCTAATAAATTAAAAAAAAAACAAATGAAACCTTAAGGTTATGTTTGATTTGAAGGAAAAAAGTAGGGAAACCTAAATATTGAATCCAACCGAAACTTTGTAAAGATCTATTAAAGCAGTCAAAAGGAATTGAGTGTTATATTTAGAAATCTAATCGAATCATATATAGTTCAAATAAATAAGAAAAGTGTAGTTTGGAAATTTAAAAACAACGGATTGAAATTTGACATAACTTTAACAGGTGTATTTATTAAAAAGTGAAAAGTTTAAGAGGTCTTTATCACAAATGAAATTTCAAATTTGGGGGTAATTGTTAATAATTCTATAGTAATGGGGCTTTAATTATTGTAAATGAAATTTAAAGGGGTAATTGTCACTATTCACTAACGCTACAGTACTTTTTTTTTGGTATTCCAATAACGCTATAGTACAGGGTCTTATTAATTTAACTACGAAGATACGTTATCCACAATTCTATTCTCGCTGAGTTCCGGTGGAAGCTGCGTCTCGTTTCTTGCTGTTTTTCCTCCGAAAATGGATGCAGTACTTTCCCGCGTTTATCCTGCTTTCTCGATTTCTATTTCTTACTCAAATATTTCTACCTGCGAGAATTCTCTATCCCAGCCTATAAGACCGCCATTGATGGCCCGTACCTATATGCATCTTCTTCGAGCTACTAATTCTGTAGGTGGAGATAAGATTTATCCGAAGCATTTGAAGTTCGCGAAGAGAAATCGTGAGCCCCAGTCGCGAAATTCCCATCCCAGAAAAGGTAGGTTTCGTTTCTGCACCTCTTCGCAGCCACATTTTAGTCTTCACTACTGTCACACTTATTAGCGGTCCTCTTTAACGTTTCGATGGAACTTTTGTGTTGTTCCTCGATTCGTTCCTCGATTCGAAATTTACATGGTTCGTGATGTTAGTGGCTATGAACTTAGACAAAGTCGAATTCATAAGAGAAAAAAGACAAAGACGGTTGGATGGCTTCTAATTCTACCATATCAGTTCCTAATCCACTTCCAGAGTCCGGTTAGAATGATGGCCTCCATTTCTACCAGAGGACCCCCAAATGTGAAAGTTTCATTTAAATTAGAATCTGTATACTTTTTTACATGCCAAAAGGACCCCTATTTTTGCTCTGAAGACGTTTCTTTCTTCATTTTTCATTTTTTTTTGGGGTGGGGGGGATGCTGGGCACATACGAAAATTAACAAGAACATGATTTTCCTTGATTCCTAAATGCTGCGGGATTTTCTTCCGCTACCATTTGGTGAATTCAACGTTTCAGCTCATAGAGACTGAATTTTCAGGTTCTCTCAATCTACCGAGGAAAACTGACGCGGTGAACTTGGAGGTTTCACCTCACAGAGCAGGTAAACTTGTTCACTTCTTAAGTTGGTTTGCAATTAATCGGGTTTGTTCATTAGCGTACTTTATCATTCGTTGGTGTGAGACTTGAAGTGTTGTTAAGTATACTTTCTTCTGTTCAAAGTTCCAACGAATTTGTTTATTGCTACTTATGAAATTGTACCCTGAATAAAATGATTATTTAACATTTTTTTAATGTATCTATTTGTTTATATTTTTATTTTTTTTCTGTCTCCTTTTTCTGGGTGCAGTCTCTGCAGTGAGATTAATGCGGATAGAACTAGGAGGTGCTTTTGCTGACCTTTTGAATGAGAAAGGAAAGGGTTCTGGGAATAATGAGATGGGATATGTTGAAAGAACCCTTGGATTTCGCACTCGTGACTTGGATGATAGAGATCTTAGACTGGTAATATCCTCTTCATCCTCTCTCTCTCTCTCTCTCTCTCTCTCTCTCCCTCCCCCCACACACACACACATACACACAAAGCACCCACACATGTACTCACCTGACATCTAAGAATGTATTGGATCTAAGGATTTGCTAAATATATATAACATAGTTGTGCCAGAAAAATTGAGAAAGGGTGCTTTTTTGTAGTTCCTTTTTACTCTAAGGACATCCATGGGGATTCATCACCCTTATTGTTTGAAAGGGTTTGAGAGATTATATTTCTAGGCTTCTATCCAATGTTAAATTCTTATCTTTGTGTCATAGGTGACTGACATTGTTGGAGGTACCATTCGCTGGAGGAGATATCTGGATCATCTGATAATGTCACTGTGCCATGAAGAAAACATGTTTAGAGGCATGGAACCTCTTCTCTTGCAGGTGTTCTTTCGCTTATGGTTTAAGTTATTGTAGAGTAAGAAGAATCATATTTACAGGAAAGAGAAAAAGCATCACATTTAGAGGCACATGAATTGTCCATTTCCCTACCTTCATTTTAACTTAGATCTTTTATCTCTTTGTCATATGCCGAACTTGTTCATTGATGGAGATTGTTTTTCTTTTTTCTTTCTTTTTTTTTGGAGGGGGTGGGTGTGTGGGTTTGACTAACATAGACTTATTATTACTTTACAAGAATGGCCTAGAAAATTCTTTGGATATGGGAAGTGTCTTTTGATAGTATTTCACTTATGTTAAGATGGTTTTCTTTATGTTTATAGATTCTACGAATTGGTTTCTACGAGATTGTCAAGCTAGAAATGCCACCATATGCAGTTGTAGATGAGGTAAGTTTCTTTTGTTTTTCTTTTTGACAAGATAACTGAATGGTGTTTTTTTCTCTTTTAAAAATTTTTGATATTTAAAAAAAGGAAAAATGTTGGGACTTGCTAACTTAGAAATACTTGTGAAGGTTTGACTGACCTAGTGTTTAATATTACTTACTTTCTATACTTCGGATATAGCATAAATGGAAAATGGTCACACTTTATATTTATTTGTCTCCCATGCTGAAGATTCACAAACAGCATCCTAATTCTTACTGGAGATTTGCTTCACTAGAAACAAAACAATCAGATGATCATGACTATCTACTCTGTTACTTTCTTTTAGGATGGCCAAAGAGAAAGAGATGTTCCAGGATGGTTAGAATCATCTGAACTTGCATATTTTGGTGCAGGAGATCTCCAAGATGGAACCAATAAAATGATGGGACAAGCCTTTTGTATGCATTACATTTTGTTATCTTATGTAGTGACTTAGGTAAAAAAATCCTCTGATCAATTTTGGCCAAGTTATTTATACTTTTATAGTTTTATTTTTGGCACATGTCATAAATTTCCAGAATGTGAGGCTTGCGAAGGCTGCTCTTAGGCCTGGTGCGGGAAACTTGGTCAATGGGATTTTGCGGAAGTTGGTTTTACTTAAGGTTTGGCATTTCTTTTATAACATGCTCTCTTTGAGTCATTTATCACTTGTAAATTGCTTCATCAAATGGTTAGCTTTCAGACATCTTTTGCTTCAGGAAAAGAACTCCCTTCCTCTGCCCAAACTGGAAGGCAATGATCGCGCACAAGCACGTGTCCTTGCTATTCTTTATTCCCATCCAGTTGTAAGTTTATTATCATTACTGTTTTTTTTCCCTTTCTTTTGGTTGTTAAGCTGGATAGAACTATCATTCTCCCAGTCTTAACAAAAGCATGATTTTTGTTTGTTGGCTGATTTAAGCAACATTTTCTTCCCAAGGATAGGCATCTTGTTATCCTTCCAAGGGTTTCTTGATAGAGAAGATTGTGAGAGCTTCATGTTCTATTATTCTGCGAATCAGTGTTCTACCACTGTTGTCAGACTCAGACAGGACTGGATGGTCAGACTATTAAAATAATATTTTGGTTGCCTGGGTCTTAGAAATGTTGTCTTGGTCAAAAAACCCCAAATGTATTTACTAATAGGTATTGCAACCTCTAATATTTCAAAGCTTATGTTTTTTTGTTGCAGCTTTAGCTTTAAAAGATAACCTGGAACCATTTCATATCTTTTATATTCTTTTTTAAATTTTTGCAATTTTTATCTGATCAAGTTGAAAGGTTGAACTGGATTATTGAACTATTTGACCTGTGACCCAATGATTAAAACATATGGATCTGAGTCTGACAACATTGGTTTCTATTACTGTGCATTTAGTTCGGGTACATGGCTTGATAATTGCACTAGTTGGATATACCATCTGGTTCCATTGGTTGGTGATGTTGTGGATCAAGAACATGCACATTTAAAAGTTAAAACATCCCTGGATGGAAATTTGGTTGAGATTGGTCAACTCAAACCTGAGAAAAGCTGACAGAGCACTGGCACACAACTAGCCAGATTAAAGTTCACTACCCAATGCTGGTCCTGGCTATTTGGGCTGCTGGGAGTTTGGACTGAATGTGGACCTCCTCCAGCCTTTTAGTATGAAGTGTCTACTCTCAGACTCAAACCTGTGTTTTCATGATTGTCAGATAATCCTTGTTAAATTACATAATGTTAGGATATCTTTGTATATGCAAGATAGACAATCCATGTTAAATTACAATTTTTTCTGGAAGCTGAAGGAGATGCCATCGTCTAACACCTTATTGTACATGGGTGACACTTTATGTGGCATTATATGCTTGAGTTAAATACATCTACAGGAATTAGCAACAGTAACTTTTGCAATTAACACCTAAGCTGTTGAAGCACCACCACCATCAATAGAGCTTCTGGTCAGACCTAACCGAAACAGTAGGAAAAATCATTCTTCATTCTCAAAGCAGTACTGCATATAATTATTGTTTGTAGAGAATGCGTTATGATATCTACCTGACTTCTATTATCCATTTTTTTAGAAAGCATCTGACTTCTATTATCCTAAATAGTAAATATTGAATTGAATAAAAAGTTTGCAACTGAAAAAAATCTTAAATCTTTACAAACCTAGCAGGAACAAATCTTCGAGATCTTAATCTTATAAACAGTTCTTAATTCTTTTAGCAAATATTCAAGATCTAATCAACATTTTATAGAGTCCAATTTTAAAAGGTTTTGATTGTAGATAATGTTTCAAATATCATTTGGGCCCATATGATCTGGAGAACTATTTCGAATGCTTCCAACCTGAGCTTGTTAGAATGGGCCTTAGATCCTATTTGATGCTTCTTTGGCTTTGGTTGTGAGTACTGGTTTTTAGGCCCTTGGGCTCATATGCATTATCTTCCCATTTTTTCCTCTCTATCAGTTTGTTACTTTTTAATGACATTTGTTTCATTACATGATTACATCCTTGTTCTTGAAATCACAGTTTTAGTTGGGGCTTAATGCTCTATTAAGAGGAAAGTGAATTGGTTTTGCTTGTTAGTTGCTGGTATGACAAGTCTGTATATAAGCAATCTGCAATATAACTTTTAATATTTTATACATTTTTTCGATGTAGTGGATGGTAAGGCGGTGGACAAAGTATCTTGGCCAAGAAGAAGCTATAAGATTGATGATGTGGAATAACAGCAATCCCAGCTTTAGCCTCAGGTTGTTAATTAAATTTCTTTTCTTCAGTTGATGCTATCAAATGGCTAAGGGATGATGTGACTGATTTCTATACACCTCCTCTAATGCAATCTCAGGGCAAACAGACGGAAAGGATTTACAAGAGATGACCTCATGATGCGGCTTAAGACATTAAAGGTGCCTGCTACTATTTCCTATCTGGGTTTGCTGGGTGTACCTGTTGGCTGTTGCATATAGTTAAGCTGTGATATCAGAACTTGTAATTCCAAAGTTGGCATTAGAACTCTTTGGATATTTACTTGTTACTGGATTATGCATCCATATGCATCATGTTACACTATGCACATGGCCTACCTATAGTAGAAAATAGAAATAAGGGAAAATAAGAGAAGAGAGTGAAAAAAGAAGCAGAAAGTTCTTGGAGAAGAAGGGAAAGAAGAAAGAAGAAGATGGGAGAAGAAGAAAGGGGTGCCAAAAGTGTATTGGCCGCCCCACTCATTAGTATTTATATTAAAAACATAAAGCTGTGTACAAGGACAATAATGTCCCCACTAAAGCAGCTATAATTAGAACCATTATAAACAATAAAGATAATGGGCAACGGCCTAGGCCCAACAATAGATAATAATAAAAAGCATAACAGGACATAAACTGTCAACATCTATGAATTAAGCTGGAGCACTGGAATGGAGGCTCGGTTCAAGCAGAGACAATGGCACTCTTACAAGGTTTGAAATTAGCAGTGCATCTGGAAGCTAGAGAATTGGAAGTAGAAGGGGACTCACTGTTAGCCATTTCCTGGGATAAGCAAGTGAGTTCAGCACCATGGAAGTACAGATTTGCATTCAGGGAGATTGAACTACTGGCCAAGAAATTTAACTCTACATTTGGGTGGACCAAAAGGACAGAAAATGGACTGGCAGACACTCTGGAAAAACAGAGAGTTGATAGGCCTTCTCTTTTTCGGGCAAAACTGTAGCTGAATGTGTGAAAATAGAGGATAGATGGTCTTTGTATTCTGGGGACTTTCTATACTGTATTACTCTGGAAAGTACTTGTAATCTGTTCTTAAATTAATAAAATTATCTTTTGCTGATAAAAAAAAAGCTGGAGCACTGGAATGGGTGATTAGCAACAAATCATAAAAGTTGGAAAATCCTAGGATCTCTTATTGTTTATAAATCTTAAATTCCTTACTGTTTACATATTTTTCATTCTTTATAATTTATATTGTCATCTATATTTTACTTTATTTTTAAGCTGTACTGTTGGCTCTTCTCGCTGGAAGAGTGTGAAGTTAGCCTCTTATTATCATTTTGGGCTACTTTCCATCCAAGTGGTGGCTCATGACTTATCTAAACTGCTGGAGTGCTGCATATGGTTTTGTGATTCATGCTTGTAGCATTAATGGTGTAGATATAAGTTTCAAAATGCAGTAGTAAGAAATGATTTAGGCACTAAATTTAACAGTGAATATGGCTTTAAATAGAACAGATTGGCGAAACAGGATTCATGTAGCTGACCCCATATAGTTGGGATAAGGCGTGGATGATGATGGTATTAGTTTCAAAATGCATACACACATTGTTCTTCTGTTCGAAGAAAGCAATATGAAAGAAAATTTTGATTTAGAAGGTAAAAAACATATAGAAATATAAAAAATAATTCGAGCTAGTTGGCATTCTGTCTTTTTCTAATTTATAAATGATAGGCAATTCTTAAGGCTATGTTTGGTTTGAAGGAAAAGGTAGGGAAAGGTAAGGAATTGTAAAGGTTTCCCTATCTTTCTCCTCCTTTCCCTACTTTTTCCTTCAAACCAAACATAGCCTAAGTGCATTCATCATCCAATTTTCTGTTTCTCTTTTTGCTTGAATTATTTGTCAGGTGTCCAGAACTTGGTTAATCAAGTGGTAAAGTTCTGTTGTATGATGGAAACAAGATATATGTCTTTTTACAGATATGATGCAATGCACAAACCAAGAGAATCTGGAAGTGGGATCTTCATTAGAAGAACTCAACAGAAATAGGAGTGTGACCATAGTCTTCTTGGTCTAAAATAAAAACTATATATATATATATTATAATGAATAATAGCAGGATTTTCAATCAGGTGGGAGCTAAACGCCTGCACTGGAGAAGATTGTGGGGAATATAGAAAGATGTTTGTTAGAATGGGAAGGTGTACAGGAGTTCAAGGATACAAGTAAAAGGGAGCTCATGAATTAGTGGGAAAGGATTCTTTTTGTGGTTTTGATAAATGATTGAATAGTGAAGACAGTCATGGTACACATTATACTTTTGTATAGGTGCATAGGCCTATATACTACTCTATTTTGTACAATTGTACCTATGGTGAGGGGCTCTTGCCCTCCTTTTCAGTAATATAATGCATTATTTTACCTTTCAAAAAAATTATTAAATTGTGTGTTCTTTATTGATGACATAGTATTAATTAATGAAGCTACAGAGGAATAAAATGCAAAATTAGATTTATGGACAAATGCCTCAGAAATGAAAGATTTTAGAATAAGCAGAATCGAAACGGAATATATGCAATCTAAGTTTACTAATAATAGGAAGGGAAATTGGGGTACACTTAGGATTTGAGACCAAAAGATTTCTCAATGTGACCTTTTTCTTTATCTTGGTTTTAGTCCATAACAAAGGAGAGATTGATTAGGATGTTGCCCATAAAATTAGAGCAGGATGGGCAAAATGGAGGGGTGTATATGGAGTCCTGGTAGGAGAATACTATTCAGGCTAAAAGGAAAATTTTGTAAAACAATTATAAGGCCAACAATGTTGTATAGAGTAGAGTGTTGGGAAGCCAAAAAACAACACATAAAAAAATGAATGCAGAAGAAATGCAAAATGTTGAAATGGATGTGTAGGAAAACTAGTAAGGATAGGATAAAAAATGAATTTATTTGAACGGACCTAGGAATAGCTCCAACAGGTAATAAAATGACAGAAAGTAGAGTAGACTGAGATATGATCAGTTCATATTTAGAGAAGACCATCTATAATATCAGGACCAGTGACATTGTGAGAAGTGATCTTTTACACGTTGAAGGGTCTAGAAGAGCTAGGAGCAGACCATAAAGGACAGCAGTTGAAGTAGTGAGGAATGATTTAACAATGGATATGACACTGAATGGTGGAATAGTGGAAGAGGATTCATGTAGCTCACTCCAGTCCCCATATAGTTGGGATAAGGCTTAGTTGAGTTGAATATATGCAAATCATCAAAAGTATCTATCCTAGGCTTAAATAATAAGAACATAATTGTCTAAAGTAACTTATGGAAATTGTATGTGTTGACCTGGGCCGTAGGAGGAAGGAGTTGGCGAGTTGCAAGTCAGTTGCTTCAGTGTTGGCTATGTAGAAGATAATCTTCAAACAAGACTCACATCGTGCATGTTACCAAGGTTTTCTCACGTCTTAAGGAGGATATCATTGGGGCAGGCCCAACCAATAAACTCAAAAAGGTTTACAATTGAAGGGGTTTCAAACCCAAATTGCAAAGACCGTATTTTCCTGTTAGGGATGGTCAGATGTTGAAGGTGTTGGAAAAGAAGCTGGATCTTTTGGTGAGCCTTTCGTGGGAGGAGTCAATTAAAAGTGAAGGGATGAAGGGTGCTAGTCAGGAATTTAAGAAGATGGAGGGGGAGATGGTATCAATGGGGGAGAAGGTGAATCAAGGAGGCGTGGATATTAAGAAGCTTGTTGATAAAGAGATAGAAATTGGAAGATCATTGGGTTTGTTTTTCTGGGAGACGAGGCTTTTGTTAGAAGAGCTCTCGAGGAGTTTGAAAAGAGGAGGAAGGAAGAGTCTTTCGAATCCTGTTATTTTCTGTTTGTGGTGCCAACTTGGCACCAGTGGTGGTTGTACTAAGCTTTTTCTTTTTTCTAATATATTTTTCTTTTTTACTTATCAAAAAAAGTTCTCTACCACCAGAATGTTCTCAAATATTCCCATTTTAAGTACTTTAAGTTGTCTGGGTATATATTTCATAAAAATGCTATATTATTTATTTGTTAGCTTGTTTTGTCAAATATCAGGTTCCACATGAGCCATCTTTACATTTGGATGATTTTGTTCGTATCGGAACAGGGATGCAGGTATATATTCCATGTATTTTGTTCTACAGTAATTTGTTTGGATATGCATGCAATTTCCTTTTTAGGGATGCAAACAGATTGGATCGAATTCGGATTGGAGTATATCCGAATCGGATATAAACCTTATATCTGATCCAATTGGATCTCATATCATTTTGAATTCGAATCCGTTAAGGATGTTGGATATCCGAGTCTGATCCAATCCAATTTAATTTCTATAAAATTTAACAAATTATTAAAAGGGAAAAAAACATAACAGTCTACATAAAGAAAAACAAAAAATACAAGCTTTTTTTTCAACTATTATTCTCATATATATACACGTCTTTTTATAAAAAAATTTACAAAAGTGCAATATAAACATATTATAAATAAACAAATAAATAATATATCTGATCTGAAAATCTGAAGGGGGGGGGTATTGGAATCTGACCAAATAGGATCGAATCATGATCTCATCCATTTGCACTTCTATTCCTTTTCCTTTTCCAATTAATGCCAGTTGCTTAAGGCCAAGGCATAAGCAAAGTGCAACTGCAGAGAAAAATTTGACTTAAGTTCTTGCTGAGCTTACAAGGTTTATGAAGATTCATCATGGACTGATGGACAACTGTCAAAAGTCTCTTTCTGGTCACCTATTATCTTGAATCCAGCCTCAATATAAATAATAGTTACAGTACTTTTTGGGTTAAATTTTGATACAATTTATACTTATGTATCACATATTTCTGAATGCCATTGAGAACAGATTGTGAAATGTTAGTCATCATTGTTACTTGATGCTTGACTTTTTACGTGTCATTCAAGTATTCTTTGTTATCCTGAATGTCTTACATGTCATGCTTCTCAGATTGTCATACAAGCTGGATTACTCAAAGAAGGTCTGTGTTCCGTTCAGGATGAGAGTGCAGGTCAGTTTTTTATTTTTTTTTTGGAGAAAAGGTAAAGTAATTCTATTAAAAGACCAAATAGAGTACAACAGACTCCCAACCAGGGAATAGCTCCCACTACACTACATTACAATTCAAATAAGCTCCTAGACCTCAACAGAGCCCCTAGGCCAGAAGTCTGAAGCCCCTTTGCAACTGAAACCCAAGAGATCAGCTTTCCATACGAAAAGGAAATTAAAACATCCAAATCTTTGGAAACATTCTGAAACAACCATCTATTCCTTTCTGCCCATATGGTACTTATTAGGGGTGTCAATTGGACTGGATTTGGTCCAATCCAGTCCAGTCCAATGTGAGTCCATTATAAATGGACCAGGTCTAATCCTCAATCCAATGAATATTTTAGATCATTTTGGACCGGTCCAATTCAATGTCTGGACCATCCAATCTGTTCAAATTCGTTTTGATTTAGATTGGTTTCAACCCAAACCCAGTCCATTAACACCTATATTCTTATCTTATATCAATGGACCAGATATTGGCTTAATCCAATCCAATCCATTATAAATTTATTACGGATGGACCAGGTCCAATCCAATGTCTTGTTGGTCCGTCCAATCTGTCCAAATTCATTTTGGACTGGACGGGATCCAATCCAAAACCGGTCCATTGACACCCTTAGTACTTATAACTGCAGCCGGGATAGAGTGTGGAGGTCAGTTCTATTCACCTGACATCAGTGAGGGCATGGTTTAGAATAGGGTGTGGAGGCTTTATCCAATGCTGGGGCCTATGCTGAACTACATATTTACTAACATATGTATAATCTATGACAAATAGAAAGGCACCTTTCAATAAAAAAACATATGTATGGATAATCTATGAATTGCATAACATTATAATTGTAGGAAATAACCTCCATGGTTGGAACTCAAGCTTGAATTAAAAAAGGAAGATGCAAAGCATCAATCAATGGCAACAATCTTAAAACTTCCAACATCTTAATTTCAACACTTTCTTTTTTGGATATCTTAGCATTATGGAAGAAATCCTAATTCAATTAGAACAACTTTTTTACCAGATGCAAGTATTTTGAAGCCTTGCTAGTTTGGTAATATATGCACGTGGGGTAGGAAAATATGATTGTAGTTGACCACTAAAACTACGACAAATTTCTAAAAGATCATAGAGAGTTTCTCAAGATTCCTATAGACGGCGACTATCATTTAGAAGAAATTATCAAGGCGTTAGGCACAAATGGCATGTTGGGTTATGTGTTGTCTTGTTTTCTTTCTCAGTCAAAAAGTTAGAGAACAGGGATATTTTCCCTATCATTAAACTTCCATCATGTTGCATCTTCTTAGTTGTAGCATTTTGTATTAAATTAATATATCAAGATTTGACTACAGGTTTGGTGGTTTCTCTTGTGGATCCACATCCTGGAGAAACCATCATTGACTGTTGTGCTGCACCTGGAGGCAAGACCCTTTTCATGGCATCACTGTTGAGTCAAAAAGGTAACAGTTGAAATTTAACTATAGTGCTTGCTTTGTTGTTCTGAAACAGGGAAGAGTAATTCTTCTTAAAAGATATTATCTATTACCTATCAGTGGTCTTTCTGCCATCAATCTAGACTGTTCAGTTGATGAGCCATAGCTTCAATAGTTGTACTAACCAGATAATCTATCATTCCAAACAATCTCTGTGTGTCTCTGAGTGTGCATGTGTTTGTCTGTCTGTGGACTTTTTTTTTTTGATTGGTAAAAATGAAAATTTCATTAAAATAAAAGAAGAATATGAGCTGTTGGTGACAAGGCATCACACATACAACAAATAAAAGAAATTCCAGAATCAATATAAATTTTCCATATTACACATTTGAAATCCCAAAACTTCCCCCAAGTTTTTCCCCAGGTCCTCCTTGTCCAAGCTATATGATTTATCATAAAAGTTCTTCATTCCTCTCCTTCCAAATATTCCAACAGATTGCAAAAGGAGTGCAGCTCCAAATCACCTTCGTCTTCTTGCTACCTCTTATCTTTGGCCATGAAGAAATAATTTCTGAAGCTGAGTTTGGATGAAAATCAGATACCCGAAACATAGTGGTAAACAATCTCCATATCAGCAATTTTGCAATTGAAAAACAAACATCTGACATTCACCTTCTGCTCTTTGCATAAACAGCACCTGTTAGCCATACTGAAGCCTCTTGATTTCAAATGATCCACAGTCAAGATGCTGTCCATAGCCACCAGCCATGTGAAAGCTTCAACCCTTGGGGGTACCGGGTTTCCCCACACACCTTCTAAACAAGATGAATCTGAACCCTTGCCATATAGTCCATTAGTTGTTTATAACTTATAAATTATGATTATCTAGAAGAAACCACTAACTGAATGGTGAGAATCATCTGCACTTGCAGTTATAATCCAAGGGTTGCCATCAATTAGATGGGCTGGAGCAATGACATGTGTCTAGATTTCCGGAATTTCTTGCTTGCAGCTATCTAGTATGAATTAGCTGCTCACTTTAGTTTGCTATCATGGCCTGAATTCTTGGATAGGCCCTCATTTAGATGGGGTGGATCAGCATCATATTTCCAAGACTTTGTCTAACTTCTCCTTTTTGCAGATATCCAATATGTTTTAATTGTTCAATGTAATTTATTGTTGTGGTCTGAATGTTTCGACTTCACAGAACATTGTTTAGACTAAGTTGTCATTCTCTTGTTAAATTTTAGCATGTTAGCTCCTTCCTGGGTTGCAATGGATGAGCAAGGTTTTGACCCTTTTCTGTTCCATACATGTCATAGGTTGTGTAATAGATATTTATTGCCTGTCAATTTCTGTTATTTCCTTGCTAAAAGATGAATGACCTAATATTTTCCAACCTGATCCTTTAGGCTTCCTGTTTATTTGTGCCTCAAGGATTTTGGGCTTTTGGAGCTATATGAATTGTTTATATTCTGTTTTTGATAAAATTTAAAATAAAATGCTCTGTTTCTTGTTGAGTTGCGGGTGATAAGTTTTGATTAATATGTTTTTGAGTTGCAGGTATGGTATCTGCAATTGATGTTAACAATGGCCGACTAAGAATTCTTAAGGAGACTGCCAAATTGCAAGGAGTAGATGATGTGATCACCTTCATCCATGCTGATCTTCGAATATTTTCTGTAAGTCAAATTGCATAATAGGAAAAATATATTTCTCTGGGAACAATTTATGTTTTCTTAATTCATCAAAAAATTTATGCTTTCTTATTTGATTTATTTTCTTTCCAGGAAAAGAATCCAGTGAAGTCTGATAAGGTTTTGTTGGATGCTCCCTGTTCTGGACTTGGTGTTCTTTCTAAGGTTTTTCTTCCATATGGCTATGTTGAAATTTAAACTTCATTTTTATTTCGGCTACTACAATGTGGAGGACGCATGTGTTTTCTTATCCTATCATTTAAACTAAATTACTTTAACTATTTTTTAAAATTTTCATTCTCTAGAAAACTGTTAGAGCATCTCACTAAATACTTCTGTTCTCTTTAACTTTGTTTTGAAGAGGCCGGACTTGCGTTGGAATAAGAAACTAGAGGATATGGAACAACTGAAAAATTTACAGGACGATCTCCTCAATGCTGCTGCCTTGTGAGAGTCCATTCATGAATCCTCTTGTAATCCTGTTCATTTCCCCCCTTTCCTCTCATGGTGCCTTTTTGAGTGTCTGTCATTTCATTATTTGTGGTCTATAATTCTATGATATACCAAAATGGTTATTATAAGTAAAGCCTTAATATATTTGTAGTGGATTTTACCTCCATAGTGGGTTGTCTTGTACAGTTTCTCTTTGTACAAAGGACCTTGATCAGTGATTAATACAATATGCTATACTTTGCCTTTTTCAAAAAAAAAAAAAATTTTTACCTTCATTGTATGCATGCCTGCTGGTATTTAATTTCTAGAAATGAACTTATGCTCTTCATATGTTTTATCCATTTCATCAAGAATTTTAAGTATTTCTCTATTCCAGGTTGGTGAAGCCCGGGGGTGTACTGGTGTACAGTACTTGTTCCATTGATCCTGAGGAGAATGAGAAGAGAGTAGCAGCATTTCTTCTTAGTCATCCAGTAAGAACTTTTAAATATAAATAAACTAGTGTCTAATTTCCTGATTCCATCCCTTTTTCAACTTCTGAAAAATGCAACTAAAGCATGAAAGTAACATTTTTTTATGGAAAATTTTTAACTGATTCCTTGATTGTCTTTGAGTTTCATGCAAGCAAAATATGCACATGAACACAAGAATTATCCAAACTAATGAAAAATATCAGTGTCCAGATTAGACCTGTTCATGGACCGGGCCGGGCTTTTGCTCTTCATCAACAGAATTTTTTCAGGCCCGAGCCCGAGCCCGAAACCCGACCTGACAACTTGTGTAGACTACAGACTACAAAGTAACAGAGGCTGAAATGCATGACTTGTACAAAGTTGAGAAATGCAGGACTCACCGCCGGAGGGACGACTGAGTTCACCGGTGGCATGGCTGGCACTGGTGCCTGAGTTCGCTGGTTCCTGAGAATGTGCGACAGTGCGAGTGAGAATGAGGACCTAGAGAGAGAGACGGCCGGTGTCTGAGCTCGCCTCTGAGACTGAGAATGATGTCTGCCTGTCTGGGTTTGTGCCGGTTCTTGAGAGAGAGTGAGGAGGGAATATAGAAGATGAAAAGAGGGAATGGGAAAGGGTTAGTTGACTAGGAATTTAGGGTTTAGAAGAAATTACAAAATGCCGGGTTGGGCTGGGCTCGGGCCAGGTTTTTGTGACAAATTCCGAGCCCGACCCGAAAAATAGTTGGGCTGGGCTTTTAGGCCCGAGGTCAAGCCCACGGGCTAAAATCCATGTGCATGCCGTCCGAGGGTTGGGCCGGGCCGGGTAGCCGCCGGCCTGTCGGGCTAACCGGCCCATGAACAGGTCTAGTCCTGATTAGTGTTTATCATTTTGTCCTACAGACGTACTTTTTCATTGATATAGATCATTCTGCCTCTTGCATTGTGTCCTCTAGGAATAGCATGTCAATTGGAAATTGGAATACCGTTATAATAGTAAATTTTGGTTTCTTGTTACATTTAACCATCCAACATGATCCAATGAAATTATTTTTCCATGGTTCAATACATGGTTGATAATTCCAAATGCAAAATCTAAAGGATGGAGACTTAAGAAAAAATATATTTTTGGCAGTGCTACATCATAAGATTACTTGTCAATTTATTGTATTTGTCATTTCCTTTTTTTGCAGGATTTCCGCATAGAGCCTGCTGATGGATATGTTCCTCCAGACTTCATAACAGAGAGTGGCTTCTATTTCTCCAACCCATTGAAACATTCTCTTGATGGGTCCTTTGCTGCTCGTTTGGTCCGATCCTAGAATAACATGTCACTCGGCAACCCTGGTTAAATTCTAATATGGAAGTTAGCTTAGTTGTTTTCAGCGAATAGGAGTTCATGTCTTTTATGGTCATCAGAAAGAAATCCTCTTCTGAGTCTAGCGTCTTATCAGAAGCCCTGATTTTTGCAAGAAGTGCCCAGTTCAGCCAGCACAACAAAATGGTAATAATCTTGGTTAAATTTTTGAGAAGTTTATTCTGTGCAATTGAGATACAGGTGGATCAATGAGCAGTTTGGAAAATTAAAAAAGGAAGTCACTAACAATAGCAAAAAGGGAGAAAGATATTGGAGAGTGAAAAAGGAAAGGTGGGCTGGAGATAGATGTGGAGGAGAAAATACCTAGACTAAGGGTATAGTTTCTCCATAATCACTCTAAAATCTCAATATTGCATGGAGTTCTATCCCTGGAAATGAAAGAAATTCCTCTGAGAGAAACTAATAGTTTACATAGATTCCTAGGTGATAAGGATTCATTTGTGGTGAGGAACTGATGTTGAGAATGGGAAAATATTGTCATCAAAGTGAGTCATTTAATCTTGGTTTTTTCAAGGGGTTTATGTGATCTGAGATGCTATTAAGTATGGCACATGAGCAGAACAGATTAAGATCTGACTATAGTTTGTATGAAATGAGAATTTACTCATCCCAAAATGTTTTTATCCATTTGAACACAGGCCTGGTTTATTATTTCTGATTTCTGAAATTTGTCAACAGAAAATTGTATTTTGTCAAATCAAGGGATGCAAAGATTGGGGAAGATGGAAATGAGGCAGAAAAATAAATAAATTAGAGACTAGATTAGAAGTAAAGTAAAAAGCAACTAGCATGATGAGAAGAGCAAAATTTCTGCATTCTTCTGAGAGCAGGGTTTTGAAACTGAGTTAGAGAAATAGAAAATATAGAAATAAAACCTCTACTTTCTAAGGGAGTTTTTCAGCACCTTATCAAGGCATGTGTTTTCTACACCTTGTTTAGCTTCTCTGCACAAACAGGCAGAGGATGTTTTATGCAGCCACTCGGGGACCAAGGTCAAATATGCAGTGGGCCCTGTCATGCTATCTACCTTTCCTTCAAGAGGAAGTTACTTGTTGGTCAAAATTCTTTTTAGGTATATTACTGCATTCTCTCTCTCTCTCGTTTGTGTGTGTGTGTACCGGTTGAAAGTGTTCATTATGACTTGTCATTCTCTGTTCTTTCTCTTACACTTATCTGACCACCTATATGCTTCCACTTGTAGTCTATGGTTGTTGGCTTTAGAGTTTCTAGTTTCATTTTTCTGTATGAACATCATTAGCTCTTTACATGTTGTACATTCACTATATGATATATCAATTCAAAACTTAGGTGTATGAGAGGTAAAGCATTAGATTATGGAATCGAACTAGAATGGAGGTTGAAAATGCTCAGTGTAATATATGTATATTATATTATATATACAATATATTACTTAGCATATTCATGACCCATTCTTCCGGAAAACTTTTGCAGGTCCTCTTAACTGGAACTCAAGACCCAACCATGAAGCTGTGGCTATGATGATTTTATGACCAGGTGACCAGGTGCATCTTTGCTCAAGCATGCAATCATAAAAAAGGCTATTATCTAATGTTGGCCCTGGCTATCTGGGGTCTTGGGAGGGGCAGACTGGGTAAAAATCCTTGGCATTTTTTTTTGGCAAAGTAGCTTCTCTCACACTCAAAGCTGTGTTCTTGTATAAGCCACTCAGGCATGCAGTCATCTAATTATCAAATTCCAAAACTATTCCCCATCCAATCATCCATAGAGTGAAACAATGAGGGTCTAGAAGCAGTGTATTTCAACAGGGAGGATGGACTCACTATCAATCCAAGCAGTGGGAAAAATTTGTCAGAATCTTCAGGTTCTAACAAGGTTTTTAAAACTGACCCGGACAACGAACCAGTCAAGGGTCTGGTTCCCGGATCGAACGGTCTGACCATTCGAACCGAATGGATGACTTGTTCTAACAATAAATAAATAAATAAATAAAAAGCGGTCAAAACCATTGAACAGTTCAACCGCCCGGGTCAGTGGTTTGCTGACCAAATCAACGTTTTTTTGGCAAAAATCTGGTTTTGGGGAAAGATGGAACCGGTTCCCTTTTTCCGGTCTGACCATCCGGTCCGGTCCGGTTTTGAAAACCATGGGTTCTAACCTCGAGTTGCCATACAAAAATATTATCATCTCAGTCATTCTCTTAATCTGGGAATTCCCTTCCAAGTTGAAACCATGTGACTTTAAGGGAGTTTTCCTAAAGCATTTTGTATGGATCCCGTTACCTCAATCTGCTACCTGGACGAAACTGTGGCATTTATTCAATAATTTATCTCTGATTTACCATCTTGAAGGAAACATTGAAGTAATAAGCCAATCTTAGTCTTGCCCCGTTGCACCCTCTATTGAAGTTGTTGGAAAGTGTAAATACCAGTGCCAAAAATTATGATGTCTGAAGATTTGTGGCTCTCCACCTCTGAATAATTGTGAATCAGCTCTTGAGGTCGGTATCAATCAATAGACCAAATCCATATAATCAAGGGAAAAAGCAAAAACTTGGTACTTGGGGGGTTTGAGTAGAGAAAGTGGAATTCAAAAGTCAAAAGCCAACTTTAATTTGGAGTTGATTCTAGTGAAATGGAGCAGAATAGTCCTATCGCTTTTATTTTTAAATTTTTTTATATGAAGAGAGTAGTCTAATATCCCCTGGGCAAGTTCTTTGAGGCTGAAGTAAGGTCTTAACCTAATGAGGTCTTCAGTCTTCTCAGATATAGTTATATCTACTTGTCCATTTGCTAATAATCAATACTGTACTTAAGCGTATGGGAATTCTGGTCCCGCAGGATGGTACTCCATCTTACTCTACGGGTCGAAACTCTATCTTTTGGATGCTCAGTGACTTTATTAACCATTTCATTAATGGTAACATAACCCGTCTGGTTTGATCCAGTATTCTTGTAGGAGAGAAAAAACAAGCAATGTTTACGGGAGAGAGAGAGAGAGAGAGAGAGAGATATTGAGTTTATTTCCAATTGGAGTTCATGATCAAATAAAACCAGATATTATCATCATAAGAAAATAAATAAATAATGACACAAGGAGAAAACAAGAAGGCTAGCTTCCTTGGCAATGTGAAAAACCAAGATGAATAAAAGTTCTCTCTTGTAATCCTTCTTGCACTATTTAGTCAATAAATATAAATACAAGGCTAAAAGCAACGAGGATAATGCTTTATGATGCAGAAAATATCCAAAATTTCAATTGGCTTTTACTTATACTTGTGTAGGGTTACTAGTAATGGGCCAGTTTCAGTGACATTCCACCTGTATTAGGATGTATTGATGGTATTCCCCTTTAATTTCAACTTTTAAACCTTTTAAAAGATGTATAGCCATTAATCTCCACCAGTGCCCGTTTGGGAGGGCTTTCAGGATGTGGCTTCTGGTGTTCTGAGAATCCGATCTGGGCCCCATATGGGAACACTAGAAGCTTTGTTTGGTGAAAATCCGGAAAGCCGATCACTGTGTTCTGAACACCAAAACATGGGAAGCTACTTCAGGTAGCTTCTTTGGAACATGGGTGCTCAACCACCACGGTTGAATCACTGCACCACGCTTCCAATGTAGAATCTCTCCCAAGTGGGCTTTTAATTTGGAGCTATATAGATTTAAGTGTAAGTTACAAAGACCCCCCTTGTACTATGTGGTCATTGACAATTACCCCCTAAACTTTCATTTGCAACAAAGACCCCCTGAATTTTTTACTTTGTGACAAGTACCCCCTAGCCGTTAAGCAAGATTATAGAATGCATTAAATTACTAAAATATCCACCTAAACTTTCTTTATTTTCTTTTTCTCACCCTTTTCTCTTAAACCTAACTGACCCAAAATACCTCTATTTTCTCCAAATGAAATTAACTAAAATAACAAAAACCATTTCACTAACATAGAAAAAAGTTTCTTTAAATTCTTGTTTCATTTTTGCTGACATGAATGTCTCTCTTCATCTTAAAATATAAAATTATCCATCCATTTTTCCAATAAATTAAAAAAAAACAAACAAAACCTTAAATTTATATCTGCCAGAAAGAAACCTTTACCATTTCATTTAAAATATTGAATCCAACCAGAAATTTGCAAGGATATATAGTAGAGCAACCGAGAGGATTTCACTATTATATTTAGAAAATTAATTGAATCATAAATCATTCAAATAAATAAGAAAAGAATAGTTTGAAGATTTAAAAATTTTAAACAGCTGAACAAGAGTCTTTTTTGAAGTTAACTAGCAGAACTCTAATGGGGGGGGGGGGGTATTTGTTGCAAAGTGAAAGTGAAAGTTAAGGGGATAATTATCACTGACCCAATAGTATGGGGGTCTTTGTAATTTACCCTAGACTTATTCAAGCCCCATTAATTGACTTAGTTTTGAGATCTATATAGCCATTAATTCCCATTAATTTTGGTCGTTGTATAAAGTTAAATTTCAAATCTAGCCAAATCCCCATTACCTCCACTAGTTTAGGCATTATGACATTTTAAATTTAGACCTCGATTCCTTTCAAATAAATCACAAAACAAAGACTTATACATTATTACCAGGGATTGATTCCAAACTAGCTGCTTTATAAGTGAGAATGCCACTATGCTACAATTACCTTTTGGGATATGATTAGGGGTTTTAGCTATCTTAAAACAAAACATTCCACCAATTCTTAATCTGGTTTGGTGTTACTATCTGATGACCTAAATGTATTAATTCTTTTAGTTTTGCATATCTATCAGTAGTTCATGCTTCACATAAATTATATATATATATATAATGTTTGTTTCTTGTTGATTTAGTGCTTATGGATGCATTTATAGGACTTAGGTGAGTTTCCCTACGGTATTCACACCAATTTGTATCTTGGCCCCCCAATTTTTTATTTTTTTTTATAAAACCATTATTTATATGGTTACGTAGTGGAGGCTGGGTTAAAAATATAATAAAGTGGGCACTTGCCCCCCTCCCCCCCCAAAAAAGAATTAAAATTGTGAAGGATCACTCCTCTTTAAGGCTTCTACTCCAATTCCCAAAATTTAAAAAATAATTATTTATTTTTCTTTAAAAAATCTATAATAGATTCAAACCTTTTCCGACCAATTTTCCCTCAAACCCTACTTCTCCTCCCTATCTCATTTTCTTGTTTAACTTAACCCCCAAAAGAAAATTTCTGTCTCCACCACTATATGTTTATATGCTTCAAATTTATATTATATGTATCATTGAAGTTGGCTTGAATATTGTATTTTCATTAAATTGTTATAAATAATTTATTAATTCATTTTTATTCATAAATATAATGTTAAAAATCATTTTTAATAATACATAACATATTGATCATTTTTACTTTTTTAGTCTAATAGACGAATCAAATTTGGATCTCCGATCCGTTTGCAGGCTTGCAGCTGTGAGTGACACCACTCCTTCTCTCCTTCATGCTTCATTCTTTCCACGTTTATCGATCCCTAACATAACAGTCCTCGATCATTTACCTTTCATAACAGTGCATACCACTTGAGCTAACAAAAGAGAAACAGAATGAGCTTGTGTTCACGGGAGATCCTTCTCTCCAGCTCTCCCGACGGCCCAATCATGGCTTACGATGCCTCCTCAGGTGCCACCCTTGCTCACTTTACCGGCAGTCACTCACCCCGTAAGGGCCTTGCCCTCGCCGGAAACACCATGATTGCCGCTTCTCATATCTCCTCAGACACCGCGTTGGGTTCAATCCACCTCTACAATTGGTGGTCTTCTTCCGCTTTTCACCATCTCCCCCTCCCTGAACCTGTCGCTCCCCTTGCCGCCACTCCCGACGGCTTGTACCTCTTTTCTGGTGGCCTCTCAGGTTATATCCATGCCTTGTTGCTTCCATCAGGCGATCTTCTTCGCTCCTTTCCTGCACACTCAAAGCCCGTCTCTTGCCTAACAATCAACGATGATGGGTCTCTTCTCATCTCCGGTGGTGACGACGGTGCCATCGCAGTATTCCCGGTATTAACCCTCCTGGATGCTTCAGCCGGCGATAATTTCTCAAGTTGTCAGCTCACTTTGCACCGTTTTGTCGGGCATGCCTCGTCGGTGACGTCCATCATCTCCGGCACTGGTGGGTGCGGTTCGATTATAGTTTCCTGCTCGTTGGACTGCACATGTAAGCTCTGGAGCCTTGCACAGGGCATCCACTTGCGTACGCTAAGGTTCCCATGCATGATTTGGGGTGTGGCCATGGATCCTACAGAATCTACGCTTTACGCAGGCGGTTCAGATGGTCGGGTATACGTAGCAATGCTGAAGGTGGCCTCCAGTTCCAGACAAGAGGTGGGTAGAGGGTCGACCGAGTTGGTTGCATGGACCCAAGAGGCCGCCGGAGGAGCAATCACGGCTGTTAAAATGACAAACACGGGCCGGAATATACTAACAGCTTCAGAAGATGGGAGTATTCGAATTTGGGAGGTGGAGAGAGGTGGTGTGATCAAGGTTTTTGGGGATGGGGGAGGAAGCGTAAGTGATCTCGTGGTGGCAAAAGGGGTATACGAGAGTTGCGGTCGCAGCGTCAGGTTTGGTGCAGGTAGCGTGGAATCAACTGGTTGTTGGAGTCTGGGGTTTTCTGGTAGGGAGCTAAGTAGAGCGATGGGGAATAAGGTGATTGAAATGGAAGAGACGTTGAGTGAGGTGGTGAAGGATAGGAGAAGAGCCATCGGTACACTTGAAACGGCAATTGGGACGTACGAGAGACTCTTGGAGCTTATTCTAAAGGAAGCAAAAGAGGATGATACTGAGAATAATGGTGAGAAGAATGAACATGACCGCCGATGACAAGTCTCTGTAACATTTCTTCAACTATCATGAATGCAAATTTGTGTTCTCTGCTTAATTATCTTTTTCTTTTTCCTTCTCTCTGTTAGACCCTTGAACCCTTCCCTTCTAGGCTTCTACAGTTCTACCTCTACCAAGAGGAAAATGTGACTGAGATGGATTTGGGTGGGCCTGAGCCCATGACAAAGCCCAAAATTTCACTTGGATTAATGGTCACATGTTTCATCACCATATTCTATCAGAAGAACTGTACATGTGCATATCACATGCATTGCTATTTGCTATACGTTTCTTGAATTGTAATAATGCCTTTGAGTTTTTGTCTTTCTTTACAGCACATTTTTAACCTTTTATCAATCAATGGTAGGCTGCAGAAGTGCTGAAAGTAGAATACAGAAAAGATTCCAAATTAAGAAAAAAAAGAAGCCCATTAAGCATTTTAGGGGCCTTTGATTACAGCTGAAAATGCTGAACTGTTTCGTCTTTTAGTGAATAAAAGATTTTAAGGAGGTGGTGGCCTCGTGGGTTTCCTCAGTGGATGAAACTGAAATTGAGTACTTTAAAATTTTATTATTAATTATTCAAAGACAAAACAATAAGTTTTTCGGTTCAGCCATTATCAAACAGCCCCTGAAAAATCACCACTACTCGTTCGCTGAAAATGAAAACTAAACATTATATACCACAATAATATCCCTGGATTTGAGTTGTTCTTAAACTTGATTTTTTTTTTTTGCTTTTTTGGCATTTCACTTTTAGTATAGTAATGCGAAAAGGTATTTCAACTATTTGAATTTGAGTTAATACTTTTTTTGGTAACAATTTGAATTAATACTTAAGACTCTGTCTTTAACACCCTGAATCTGTAGACCTTTGTCTATAGCCCAAATTAATTCGACAATACACTGGGCCCCAAACAAGACGCTCGACCCATACCCAAATTCAGAAACTGGTCTGGTTCACGGTCTGGCCAACTCTATGAGAACTAGACCTGTTCATGGGCCAGGCTCGGGCCGGGCTTTTACTCTTTATTAATAGAAATATGTTAGGCCCGGGCCCGACCAATGAACCTACAATTTGGGCCCGAGCCCAAAGCCCGATCTAATAAAAAAAATTAGATTTTTTCCCTATTCAATAATCAATATAAATTAAAATTTATTTACATAAAAAAATATAAAGAAGGGAAAAAGGATGTGGAGAAGAAGGGTTCGGCTGGAAAAATAAGGGAAAGAGGTGAAAAAAAGAGGGGTATTCAACTAGGGCTTTTAGGTTTAATTATAGGTCGGGCTGGGCCGGGCTTGGGCCAAGCTATTTTGGCAAATCCCGAGCCCGACTCGAATTTATTGCAGGCTGGGCTTTTTGGCTCGAGGTTAAACCCGCGGGCCCATATATCTGTTCAAGCCTGTTTGGGAGCCGGGCCGGGCCGGCCCGTCGGGCCACCCGGCCCATGAACAGGTCTAATGAGAACTAAGCAATTGAGGCACAGGCCCAACAATAAATCAGTAATTCTGTAAGGCCAGACGAGGCGAGCATTAGGTCAATTCGAAGTTGGAATAGGTCCATGTTTCATGTTTGTGGTGTTAGACCGTCACTAGGTGCGTAAACGACTGAGACACTCATATTAAGGGTCCATGGGTCCATTCGTTTTTTTTTTGGGGGGGGGGGATTTTAAAAGGGGGAAATTGGTTAATGAGATCTTCATTCCTATTGACCACAAATATCCATATTATTTTTTTCAGATTTATGTGGATCTATAGAAAATTTATTTTTCATGGATATCATATACCTGGATAACTTAAGTGATACCCATTTCTCAAGTGGATAAAATTTTTCAATGGGATAAAATTTTTCCTACACATGGGGAAATTGTCAAGATTTCAATGGGACAAAATTGTCCTTTTAAATAATAGTTTTTTATGGTTAATAGGATTCATTGATTTATTTATTTAAAAAATAAAAGAATATGGATAAATATTTTCTAGAAAGCAGACGAATGGATGGATAGGATGTATTTTCAAAGATTCAGAGAGAGGACAGCTGGATAGGTATGATGGGGCTCATAGACTCTTTTTTTATGGGCCTACGGTCATACACCCAACATTTTAGTCGAACAGGAGCAGGTCCATCGTCCTAACCAATTGGGGTGGGGGTAAACCGTAAACCAATTGCCTTTTGTAATGGTACTACGGTGAAAGAGGGGAGACGTTGATGGAGACTTGCACAGCCGGTCGCCATCTAGCTTACTCTAAATTTGGTACAACATTTATGATTTACTAATGGGGTTTTTGTCATTAGTTCAGCCATAATTAATGTGGGGTTTGTAGAGGGAAAAATGTCATAAATGTGACAACCAAAACCTTAGCTAAATTTAGCAGATTCCTCATACACAGCAACCCTGCATAATGTAGACAGCTGACGCGGACCACTTGACCGACCATAGCCGGTTACTATCCAAGAATCTGACATTAGCTGGTCAAGTCTCTATACCTATGCTATATATAAGAAAGGCTGAAAGGGCACACATCCACCACTCCGGCTATCTATTCTTGTGTCCAGTAGTAGGAGTCGCTACTTCATACGTCTTCTTCTCCTCCTCCTCTTCTCTCTACCTTCTTCTTTCTATATTCACACTTCTTTTCTCTGCTTTGCTTTGCTTGATCTCCAACTTTGATCTGTTCTATTCTTTTGCAGCACTTAACGTTGCTTTTTTTTTTCTCTATATATTTTTAATTAAGCCTTAGGATCTTAGATCAAGCTTCGTCGAACTCCTTTTTTTTTTTCATTCATTTTATGTGAAAGAAAAGTAGTATAAAGTTTGTTTTTTCATCTTTTTTCCCTTTTCGTTGTGGTCTGTACTTGACCCTGAACTTAGAGTCCTGAGTCGACTTCTGAGGAATTATCGATCGTTTCAGACGGCCAGCAGAAATGTTCAAAGGTAAGGGCGTACGTAAGGCTTTTAGTAGTGTTATCCTCTACTCTACCATTTCATATGATCTATCCGTTTAACTTCAATTGTTTAAGGCGATGCATGATGAAATGACTGGGTTTGATGATCAATCATATATAGAGAGGGATACATGTATGCATGAAATGATCGACCATGTACATAGGAATAAATGCATGACAACAGTAATACTATATATCTGTTTTTGTTGCTCTCTCTCTCTCTATCTATATACATACATATATATATACTAATTGATGCGTTATCTTGGTTGGTGCAGATGCAGGAGAGTGAAGGGCCGGAGAGGAGAGACAAGTTGACAGAAGAGAGAGAGCACAAGCCAGCATCAGTTAAAGAAAGGCTTTACTTTTGTTGGGAGTGTGCTCTCTTTTCTTCTGTCAGCATCACCAACTCCCCAGTTGTTGATAACCCTAGCCCTACATGGATTACAGACATCACATGTGGTATTTCAAGCTCCTGTAACCCTCAGATGAGTCAGATCCATATCAGACGGTCAAGAAGTGCATATACAATATTTTGCCAACTATACGGGTAGAATCTTTGGTCTCACAACTCGTCTACGTCCCTTTACTGACTACATATCAGAACTTGGTTTTTGAAAAGCCATTATTTGCTTTATATAATTAATATTACTCAAAACAGAAAATAATTTAATTTTACCACATGGATGTGGACAAGGAAGAGTGCATCAAAATTTATAGGAATTTTTGAAACCTTATATATATATATACATACATACGTAGAGAAAAATATAGAAATATCTTCCCAATATTTGTATTTTGATATCATGTTTTTGCACTTAATGCCATCATAATGATGCTTAAATAATTATGTGATTTCATTTAGTTGTTAACTTTTATTGATTAATATATTGATGCTTACATTATTTTGCATGTATGCATGCATGTATGTATGCATGCATGTATGTATATGAATGCATGTAATCTGTTTGTGATTAATTAACTCAAACAGTGATCATTAATTTAATCCAACAATACTAATAATTTTAATATATGATTATTCAAATGAAACTAATTAGTTATATCACATTAAAGTATAAATAGTTGATATTTTTAAAATCCATTATTAGTTAACAACAGCCAGTAGTTTGGAAAAATGTTCTTTTAGACATGTGATAATAATGGAATCATCACTAATTATTCTATATTCCATTTAAGGTATTTTAGTTTAATGTTAATCTAAAATAATAAGCCAACATGTGGTTATTATTATTATTATTATTAAAATTGTATTGTTACCATCATCATCATTGATGGGCAAGCATCTTTCATTATCAACAAACTTTTCCAATTTATTTTGGTGGGCCAATATGGGCCTTGAGAAACTCAAGAGACTGGGCTGGAGGCTTCAAAGGCGTCAACTGTCGCAAATTCTGCAGTGAAAACTGCACATGCAATCGTAACATGGTGTGTTCTCTAGCTGCTTCACCATTTTCTTGTTATTGATATTTCTATTTTACTCTTGGTAAGTTGCCTACTGGATATCAATATCGATATTCATGGTCCATATATATTGCGGCCATTTTGTAATAGAATGCATTACATTTAAGGAATTGGAACTAACTTCTTTTCTTTGATTTTGGAACAGTTCATCATCAAACACCAAATTTGCATCTGCACTTGTCCTGTGATATAAATGTTTGTTGTTACCATTGTTGGTGTTGAAAACTTGAAATCCGGACATCCACAGGAAAGGTTCCAAATAGTGAATGATGCACGTAAATGGGCCAGTTCAGAGTTTGATGATGAGATGCAATCACTATGTGCCTCATCCATTCGTGGCTAGCTAGTTCCAAGTTCCAACTTACTGTGAGGGGATTTGCTTCATTTGTCATTTGCTGACTCAGATGAGTGGTGCATTTTATCAATTACATTTTATGCAACAAGAACGGATTGATGAAACATGATTTATGTAGCTGATCCTATATAGTTGAGATAAGACATGGATGATGATGACGATGTTGATGTTGATGATGATAATGGCATTTTACACAACAAGGCGAGGATGATGTAGCTGATCCTAGCGTGGCATTGTTTGTAGGAAGAACAAGGTTTTGGTTGATTCCAATTCCTCTCCTCTGTCTAGCTTGGCTCTTGAATTGGGGCTTTACTAAAACAAGGAGTCAAGGAAAAGAAGGCTCTTGGCATTGTCCATTGTGTGAGCCGGTGGATAAAGGGGAAACCCCATTTACATGGGCACTCCTCATTGTCATTGCAATTCTAATAAGAAACTCTCATCGATCGAATTTCATGCAAACTGTTTTCTACTTTGTTGCATCAGAAGAACAATGCAAATAAGTTGGATTGTGCCCTTGGATACAAATGGCTGTATTTGTTGCTGTACACACTTGTTGATCCCTTAGAACTTAAAAACACTCAACATGTAGGGAAAAACCATAAGAGGCCCGTTTGGTTCACAGTTGGAACCAGAATTGCCTGTTTCCTTTGGTTCAAACAGGAATCAGAATTAGATTTTATAAAATATACATGACTGATTGTCTGCTAAGGATGACTGGTGTAGGTAAAGCGAAATAGGATTTGAAGGGGTTTTAAGTCGCTTGCCTTTTTTTTTTTTTCTGACTGGAATAAAATTTTCATTTCTTGTGTGTGGTGGGGGTGGGGTGGGGGGATCTGATCACAACAAGCTGTTCCAACAAATCTGTATCAGCACATTGCATAGATGGTGGGTACCAGTCTCACAGTGAGATGTGCCCACACAGATCATGTTAGGACTGCATTGGGACAGTTTTTGTTATGAGAAAATCCCATCGCCCCAAGGGGGGAGGTTGGATCCACCAGAAATGGCTGGAGATTCCAATTCTAGACCCTATTCTTGTGAACCAAACAGACCCTAAAATCTGATTACCTCCAAGTAGACTTGTTCATGGGTCTGTTAGCCCATAGGCTTAGTAACAAAGAAATATTATATAATATTGTATACATTATAATATCTATCTATCTATCTATCTATATATATAAAACATATTATTAATTATACATAATTGATGTATTATAAAATTTCTGTTCATATTGGGTTTTGGGCTTTATATAAGGCCAGTCTGAGACTCCAGATCTAGGCCCAATGGTTGAGCCAGGCTCGGGCTTGGGCCTGGTCATTTTTTTGTGGGAAATTGTCTAAAACTCACCATGAGTTTTCAACATTTCTCTTAAACTCATCCCAATTTTTTAAAATATCTAAAACTCACCATATCAGTAAGTTTTTATTTTCCAAAATTCACCTTCCGTTAGTGCACCATTAATGCTTCTTAACAAAAGTGTCCATGTCAGCATAAATAACAATTTTCATGACCAAATTACCCTTGAATGGTGAGTTAGAAGAAAAATGGTCTTTTTCAGTTTTCAATTTTCTTGTTTTTTTTTTAATTTTGAGTGTTTTATTATAATTTCCAATGTTTTATTATAATTCTGTTTTTTTTTACATTTTTCTATTTTCTACAATCTATAAATTTTCCTGTATTTTTTTTATTTATTTACAATTTCTATGTTTTTCTATAATTTTTGGTGTTTTTTCTACAATTTTTATTTTCTGATTTTGTTTTTCAATTTCTATAGTTTCTATAATTTGAAAATATATTTTTTATTTTGTTTGCAATTTCTATAATTTTTTCTATTTTTGTAATTTGTATGTTTTTATGTATTTTATATTTGAAAATATTTTTTAAACTTTTTCCTTTTTTCGTGTCTAAATATTAAAGTGGTAATATATTAACACCTGTTAATTTATTTTGTATATATTTTATATTTTTCTGTGAAGGTTAAAATGACAATATATTGACACTCGTTAGTCTATTTAACATCAAGTTAGTGACATTGTGAGTTTTAGACATTTTGAAAAGTTGTGGTGAGTTTAAGAGAAAAGTTGAAAACTCATGGTGAATTTTAGACAATTTCCCTTTTTTTGTTTATAAAGAAGCAAAGTCGAACCCCGCTCGGCTCATGAACAAGTCTATCTCCAAGGTGGGTGACTGAGCCAAATCTGTCTAATACCCTGTTGGTAAATCCAGCACCCACCGAGCACCCATGAATTTATGGCATAATTTTGGGGTGATCATAAGTAAAATAAAAAAAAAAAAGATTCCTAAGAAGGGTCTGAAATGATCCAAACTATTTCCCTCCGCGTTTTCCAATCTGAATCTGCTCCTTACAGAAAACTCCTCACATCGACCTCAAAGTATGTTTTAACTGCACATTGGGAACATCTCCCGTAGTTGTATGCTTTTATTCATGGGAAATGTTCCCAATATGATGTGAATGTGAGATTAATGTGAGGAGTGCTCTGTGACTAGGAGCAGATCCCAATTTGCTTTCTCTAAGTTATTGAAGAGTTGAGATCTGCTCACAGCAAAATTGAACCAACATGATTCCAACAATATTTGTATATGCACATCTCACCATAAGATTGGAACCCACCATGAAATTGGGACCCATAGTGCCTGCGATGGGGGACACAGATCTTGTTGGGATATTTTTCGTTGTTAACTCAATCTGCTCACAACAAAAATGTACCAACACGATTCCAACTAAGATAAGAGATAAACCATCTTCCTATTTTGTCAAATCCTTCTGTTTTAATTTCTCCTCTCAGCCCACTAAGATTATTTTCTCCTAGCTTTTTTTTTTCCTCAATTAAAAAAAACATGAATATCATCGCCATAGGTCAGGTTTGGTAGATTTTGAAATGGATAGAGCGAGTTTTTAACTGTTTTAACCAGTGTTTTAAAAACCGATTCTAAACCGCTTTGACCACTGGTTTCTGGGTCAACAATGCAACCATCCAGCCTGAACGGATTGGCCCATCATAATTTTAAAAATCAAAAATAAAAAAAAGTTAAAATAAAATCACCTAAAAATCACTCCATATCTCCTGCCTACTAGAACTCTACCCACGTCTACACATAACACACTACCCCGAGCATAATACTATGTAGGAGGATGAGATGTTCTCCATGTGTGACTGCAATGCTATGTGGATAGAAGTGGACAGAGTTCTTGTTGGCAGGAGATCCAGACACCTAAAAATCATAGTCCGGATCGAATGGATTGACGATTCAACCACCTGAGTCAGCAAGTCACTGACCAAATCAACAATTTTTGGACAAAAAGTGGTTTGGGGTAAAAACGAAACCGTCTCCTGACTGGTTACCGGTCCAAACAGTCTGCCGTCTGAGTCAACTACGGTTAAAAAACCATGGTCCTAACTTTTAACATGCATGAATCCAACTGATCTCTTTATTGACCCACTCCATGAACATTAGGGGCTAAGATGGCGTTGAGCATGAAAAAAGACAAAGCAGAACTTGATAGGAGATGAAAGAATGCTGAATAAAATCTATAAGTGTACCCACATTTGTTTTTTCCTAAGCCCACCTCTTTATACTTTCCAATTCTTCAAATTCCTCCAACCTTTTCTTTTCCACTCCAAAACCATTTTTACCCCAAAAATTTCTCCATCTCTTCTACGTTCTCTCACTCCAGAAATCTGTCTTCTTATATTGATTTTTGTCTTATTGTTTTTTGTGTTTCTTTCTGTTACTCTTGCAGGCTCTCCTACTAGTAAGGAATAGATAAAAATGATCCAAAAGATAAAACACTCCAAATCCATAACTAGATAGAATATAAGCACAAACTGAATACAAAGTGGGTTGACATTCCATAACTGAGCAAAATTAATAGCATCCTTTCAATCAAATACCTTTTAAAAGTCAGACCCAAGTCCAGTTGCAACCCGCGCCCGCATAGCTAGAAGTTTAGCAGACAATCTCAGCCCTTTTCCTTCATAATTTCATGTCTACACGCTCTTTTCTTTCAAATTAGCCTGCTAAATCATATGGAATACAGCTTTATGCAGTTTCCTCCTGAGATGTTTACATACACAATTGGCTACATGTAAGAACTTAAGAAACCGGCCTACCTTCATCCTAACTTGAAGTAGCATCACTAGGAGCGGTAGAAGGAAGATCAACCCACTTGATCTTCAACTCAATCTCTCCGGACTCCACGTCACAAAGCCTCAACCAAACGTCTTGAACAATTTCGCCATCTACACAATTCACACAACTTTCCCTGACCAGGCAGTTGTCACTATCTGGTACCATCTTCCTTAATGTTGTCGTCCCAGCTGAAACTTGGAGGATCGGTCTGAGCCTTGCAATTGACGCTATTGGCTGAATACTGAGGTATGCTCTTCCCATCTTGTCATCCGCTTTAAACCTGTCTTTGTCAAACACCTCCTGTGGAGAGTTGGTAATTTACTGTGTCATAAAAATCCTTCATATAGCAATAATGGAATAAAATGGGAGGAATTGAATTAGAACCCTCCATCACCTAAATACTTGGAACTTGAGCAACATACCAGAAAAAAACAATAACAATAAATGAATTATGTTTTAATTCAAATGCCCAACTTGTTATAGAAACTTATTGCCTTCCTCAGCTAAAGGAAATGATTTAAAAATTGTGCTAGACAGTTGAAATGTGACAATAGAACCTATCCATCTTCTAGTTTGATTAAGTTGCCAAATTCAAACAGGCTGAGAATTAGCCAGAAGGGTTGAGATCTGGCCATTAAAAGTTTATTGAACTACCTGGACCAATGATTGCTCCTGTCCAAAAATGAATACTTAAAAAATACTTTTCTTTCATTTATTCCACTTATTATCTTGGGGCTTTGTCGCGGTTTTTGGTTAAGGTTAGACCCAATTAAACCAACTGGTGATGTTATTGGTTCGCTTTCTGGACTGGTTTTTAATAGGGGTGCAAGTTGGGTACCTGATTTTAGGATTTTACACAGCATCAGGCATGGGTTTCAAGGACGGGCCCATTCAAATTTTGAAAAAATCCCAACCCGAGCCCACCCAAGTTGCAACCCGATTTTAGGATTTTATTGGTTCTCTTTCTGGACTGGTTTTTAATAGGGGTGCAAGTCGGGGACCCGATTTTAGGATTTTACACAGCATCAGGCCTGGGTTTCGAGGACGGGCCCATTCAAATTTTGAAAAAATCCCAACCCAAGCCTGCCCAACTTGCAACTCTATTTTAGGATTTTATTGGTTCACTTTCTGGACTGGTTTTTAATAGGGGGTGCAAGTTGGGTACCCGATTTTAGGATTTTACACAGGATCAGGCCTGAATTTCAAGAACGGGCCCATTCAAATTTTGAAAAAATCCCAACCTGAGACCACCCAAGTTGCAACCCTATTTTAGGATTTTATTGGTTCGCTTTCTGGACTAGTTTTTAATAGGGATGCAAGTCGGGTACCCAATTTTAGGATTTTACACAGCATCAGGCCTGGGTTTCAAGGACGGGTCCATTAAAATTTTGAAAAAATCCCAACCCGAGCCCACCCAAGTTGCAACCCTATTTTAGGATTTTATCAGTTAGCTTTCTGGACTGGTTTTTAATAGGGGTGCAAGTCGGGTACCCGATTTTAGGATTTTACACAGCATCAGGCCTGGGTTTCCAGGATGGGCCCATTCAAATTTTGAAAAAATCCCAACCCGAGCCCGCCCAAGTTGCAACCCTAGTTTTTAATCTAAAAGATGTTCAGTTGCAGGACTCCCCCAAAATCAATGGCTCTAGTTATGCCAAACCTTAGCATTTGGGATCCCTTAAACATTGACCAAATTAACCTACAATCTTCCACACCTGTAAAGTGACTAACTAGTAACATGGAACAGTGCAGGTTTTATCAATTTGGAAATACCAGGTGATTGCAAATACTGTGTTTTTGGATGCATCCCATCTTTTCGAGGATTCATCCTAGTAGTGCTTGTTAAAAATATATAAATCTAGATGATCCAGACTTGGCATAACCGTTCCTGTGGTGCTAACAATCCCCCAAGCTAAGTAAGGTTCAAAATTTTGTAATGTGTCGGCTATCGGGCTGTATCAGCCAATACGTATCATATCGGTGGGTCACTGGTAATGTCAAATGTGTATCTTTTAGGGGGTTTGACCCATTTCAAGGAGTAGGCAGGCCTAAGATATACCCTCTGCCCTATTTTTGAAAAAAAAAGAGTGGTGCAAAGTACCAATACACCCTTCTGCCGTATTGGGGTGTATCGATACTTTGAACCTTCCAAAAAAAGAAAGATGGCACTTAGTGCCTTGATTTTCCAAGATTTTCTTCACTTTCCTCATTTTTATTTTCTTCTAAATTATTTATATGATTAATATCAAGCTATGGTCATCTCCATTTCTAGATATTAATATCCTGGAACCTTTCATCACCTAAATGCTTTGGCACTTGAGCCACATACCAAGGCTACACTGCTTAATTGACTGAAAACCAAGCAGCAAATCTACTAGACTTGCTGCCAAGAGGTGAGGCATGCCATAACATTCAAAATGGCACCTCGGTGATGCTACATGTAAAAAAGGTGATTGCAGAAGGTAAAAAAGATACAGTGTCCAAATTCCTGTGGATAGCAAAAATAAATAAAAGAATTCTGGCAGAAGTGAGTGCTCCAACATTCCAAACCTAGATTTTACAAGGTGATGATCTGGGAAAATTCCACTTTTGATAAAGGGGGCACACCCCTCATCATGAGAAAAAAATGTATATGTTCAAGAAGATTAAAAAAAAAAACTCTCACTAGGAATAAGCCCCCGGTAATGTGCCCAATTTATCAAAAATGGTGTATGCCATTGTAGGCAGGTTTTGGACCACTACCACAGTGTAAACAACAAATACTTGAAAATAGTAGTAGGCAAACATGGAGGACATACCAACTTTAGAACTCCAATGGGCTCTGTGACAGAGAAAGTTAACTCTTCGTTCCAAACAGGGTTAAGGCAGCTGTTGATAACTTTAGTTTTCCCAGTCTGGTGCAGAAAATAAAAAGTGACTATTATTTCAATTCTTAAATAGACTAATATAGCTTAAGAAGAGGTTATATACATGACTCCATGAGGCCTGTACATGGGCGTATCCATACAAATCATCATAAAAAGAAAAAAAAACAGTTTACGTGATATTAAAATTCTAGTAGTAAAAATACTCAAGAACATTCAAAGTCTAATGGATTAAGCAATTCTTGCTTATCCTATTATTTGTAGATTCCATGATTGAATGATCTTATTGTTCAATCAAATATCTTATCAAACAAGTATTAGTTTTCCTATTTTCTCTAAAAAATCTTAAACAAGCTTTTAAATAAAATTAGCTTGTGGTGTATGTAATTTTTGCATATATACAACTTATGTGTCATGCACGTAGGAGGCATAAGACATTAGCAAGTAGAAATTTAAGTTAAAGTCTGACCCCTAAGATGTGTTTCTGATTTGCCTTATATGTACACAATTTCAAATGAAAAGAATTTGGAGTTGTCTAAAGAGACAACAATTAGGCTAGACATATGGGCAACTAGTCAACTACATGGCATCGGAAACTATTGTTGTTTTGTTTTAAACAATGCAAAGCATATGTTTCTGTCAACTACTCACCAACACTTCTTTTACTTTCTTCTCAAGAAAAAAATGAGGGGCAAGATTGCAACATTATTTAGAACCCACAAGTGTATATTAAACCTTGAAAAGTCACAAAGGAGATCATGCATAACAGTTAAAAACTCATTTTTAAGTGTATTTTCCCTTTCATAGGTGAACTAAAACAGCGAAGAGCTCAATTTGGCAAACCAATTGAGTGGAAACTTGGCCTTCTATTGAGCTTTCAAGGTTGTCAACAGTCAACCAAGTAAAATATCCTTTTGTGAGTGCTTTCCATCTTGGCTTTTGGGTATTCTGAGGTTGGATTGGATCCATGAGAGGAAAGCCCATAAGCCATCTGAGGTGATAAATGCAGAAAGCCAGGTCTGCATTCCTAAGAACATGGAAAATTGGAATACCATTGTTATGGATAAGTTAGCTTTGTTAGCTTTTCTGGAATCTTGAAACAGTGAGTTGAATAGCAAAATGGCCAAAACTCAAACACTAAAGCTTCTTAACAGCAACCCTCTCAAATGGGGCCTAAGTGATAGAACCACCACAGTTTAGTCTGTATGGTCCTTGGATCAATTGCAAACATTCAAAGCAGAAAAGTATATATATATATATATAAACACCAATGAGAAAATAGAAGATCAAAGCAAGAAGCCTAATATACGAGACCTGATTGCCCAGCTTGACCACAACGTAAGGATCACTGCTCTTGAAATCCCGAATTACCAGCCTTTTTCCCTGCACCACAGTCACTTTTAAATGGCCAACAATATCCCCCATAAGTCCACTTCTACTAAGACATCAACCTTAGAGAGAACAGCCCTGCACAAAGATGAAGCCTGAGACGAAGCAAAACTTGCAGGTATATGTAAACTATTTGTGACAAGAAGAAAACCATCTTTGTGCTGGATAAGATCCTAAAAGTTTCTTTCATATATTTTCTTGGAAGAAAAACATCTCCAACCACAAAGTAGGAGGACCACATACTGATCAGTTTTCATCTAAATGATGGATTAAATAATCCCCACTACCCCAGATATATTTTCAGAATCTAAAGAAAAACCATTAATCATCAGGAAGAGAAAGGGCAGTTCTTTCGCATATCCAAAGAAGAGAATTAATAAGATATAATACTCTTGGCTTGACAGAAGAGAAGACAATGAAGCAAAGACAACCGTCTCACGTAATAATGGAAACAGGAAGGGAAATACTCTTGGAAGTGTAAAAGGAATAAACAGAGTAACTGCAATGCAACATTAAGCATTTAGGAATCAGCAATCAAAAAGAAAGAGAAAAATAGATCACTGTTCTTTTGAATCGAACAGAATTCCACTAGAAGCACAGTTTCATTTCAAAATTATTGAAGACGCGCAATCACACAAATTTAAACTTCATCTTCCCCCAAAAAAAAAATTAACTTAAATTAGATAAAATTGAACCAGTGAGAAGCAAGATGTTTTATTCAGATTTTAAGAAACTGTACTAAACTAAAGTTGTCGAAATCCCTCGCAGAAAAGAAGAAAACGCCAAAAATTATTAGCATTCCCAGGGCTGGGCATCGTCCCTACAAATATAAAGAAAAGGTTATAAAATAAAAGATGAGACCATGACGATCATCAATAGCTCAAGCAGGTTTTTTTTTTTAGGTGGGGGAAGCTCTGCACGAAGAACTCAAAGCACGGAAGCAGAAAACACCATTAGAGTTTCTAGCTTAGTAAAACACAGGAAGCATCTAACAGCAGATTTAGAGAGAAAACAAAGAAAAAGCATGGCTTCATCTTCGGTCACTAATGAGAGAGCACCTAAGAACAAAGTCACCACCAATTCGATTAACTCGAATGAAAGCTAGAATAACAGAATCGTCATCAAAATGCAGACAAAAAATATAATTAGTAACTTAGCTACTTTACAAGAACGAAGTTTTGTGGAATTATCGCAAGAAGATCTCAGAGAAGACATTTTTCCATTCCATCTTAATAAAGATGAATTCTTTTACGGACCTCTATTCCGAATCTGAACGACAACGCGAAAATGCAAACCCGCCGGACACCGTGAGAGGTGCTCGCCTCCTTTTTCGGCCACGATCACTCTAGTCTCGAGTCAGATTTTTATTTTGCATTTTCTTTACCGGCATTTCCAGGTAGATGATGCCAGAGAAAACGTGAGAAACCTCCCTAGCGACTTATTGACTGACACTTCAGTGTCAGTCATCAGGTAGCGGTGGTCGTAGAGAAATAAATTTGGGTAAATTACATAAACCTCTTTGGGTAAATTACATAAACCCCGGTACTATGCGGTCAGTGATAATTACGCCGGAAGGCCCTGAACTTTGATTTGCGACAAAGATCCGGGTTGGTGACAATTATCCCTGATTTTCATTTTGCGATAAAAATTCCCCTCAACTTTCAGTCTTTCACTTTGCAATAAATAATTATCAAAATATTCACCTAACTTTTTCTTATTTTTTTTCTCACCTTTTTTTTCTAAACTTAATTGACCCAAAATACCTCCGTTTTGTCAATAAAACTAAGCTAAAATAACAAGAATAATTTTATTAATATAAAAAAAACAAGTATTCTTTTTTAATTCATGTTTCATTTCACTAAATATGAATGTCTCTCTTCATCTTAAATTTATATTTATTAGAAAGAAATCTCTATCATTTCATTTGAATAATGAATCCAGTGGGAAATTTGCAAGGATCTATTAAACCAACTGAGAGAACTTCATTACTTCAATATTATATTTAAAAAATTAACCGAACAATAAATTATTCAAATAAATTAAAAAAGGATAATTCGGAAATTAAAAAAAAAAAAACAGCTGAATGAGGAATCTTTTACAAAGTTACTTAAAACTTGGGGTATTTATTGCAAATGAAAGTTCAGGGGTAATTGTCACTGACCCACATAGTACAGGGGGTCTTTGTAATTTACCCAATGAATTTTAGTAGTTTGAGACTTGGGTTGGTTCGAGGCAGGGTTCTTCTGAGTCTGAGACTGGGTCACAGTCAATTGAATTGACTAAAGATGGATACCGAGTTAATTCCTTCCACCCACTTCCTCTTTCAATTTACAGAGTCCAACAATTTTGTTTTTGTTTTATTTTGTCTTTTTTTTTTTTGTGGATAGAATAAGTAGACTGTTTGACTGAGAAATCCAACTGTTTCGATTCGACTGAAATATTTTCATGGTGGAGCCAACAATTTGGGGTTTGGGTTATTTTATAATTAACGTATGGTTGGAGAATGGATCATCATGCCTTCTGATATTAATATGTTATTAGTCTAGTCTTAGGTCTTAGTAGTTGGAGGTGTGGAGCCTATCATCTTCCTTGAAAATGACTGCAGTTGGCTCCACCATGAAAATATTTAGAGAACACAGTCCAAAGTCCAAACAGTTCGATTTCTCAGTCAAAATCAAGACCGTGACCAAGTGCCCAACAAACAAGGAATTTTGCATTACTTCGTTGGTTACTAGGATTCCCCTAAAACAAACACATCTGCCTTCGGCAGATTCTTTGATTCTAATTAAAGCATTTCCAGACTTGCTCTCTGGTGCGTGGTTCTTCACGAGAGAGAGAAAGAGAAAGTTGAGTCAGCTTAATAGTCTTCACCCTTCAGTGGGTTCGTGGGCTCAGTTTTTTTTCCCCCTTTCCTTTACGCCTTGTCCTGGACAAGTAAAAGACAAAAAAGAAAGACATAATAACGAAAGTAACAACCTAGGGGCGTGGTTCCTTCTGTTGGTTTTTTGGGAAAATTGTTCATTTTGTGTTTGCCAATGGACATGGGAAACCAGGGTAAACTGACATTAAACTGATATAGGGATTTGAAGCATGATGCCTATACATAGTATTGATATCGAAAGGGCAATTTAACAATCAATTTATGCTTTCTTAGTTCTTTCCTTTCCCCGTTTTCACCAAAACCTAGTTGTATGCGTGAAGGAAAGGCTATGATATAATTAACATTAAAATGTATGGGGAGAAAAGAGTTGAATTGAACATGGTTTAGGTAAACAAGAAAGATAATATCTATCATATAATTAACATTAAAATGCTTATTAATTATTCTGAAATTTAGCCGTTAGATATGAAATGGTGTGTGCAACTCTGTGCATGCATGAAGTAAATACAGAATACAAGTCCCCCACATATACAGTCCACGTGACAATAACTGTACATACAGCCCATAACCTTGTCAATCTCATTGTCAAACTGGCTCACTGTTTCTTCTATGTGCTCCAGAACTGGAATAAATAATACAACCCCAAGACGGGCACCGCTTGAAGCACAGAATAGTGTAACATGGGGCATTAATAATTATGGTACATGGTATATCAGGCCTCAATGTGAGCGAATTGCAAATGTTGTTTATTAGTGTCTTTATGCAGTTAGCATTCATCTCTCGCATCCAGCAACAACTGTATCGATACAAGCCAAGAGTCAGGCAATGGTGCCACCGCTCCAATCTTGAAAAGGAAGGTTAACTTAGCAGCCTTAGACTTCTTTGCCTGCTCTACGCCTCCACATGCTCTGCACATGATACAAGCTGAATAAGAATCAAGATTTACATGTATGTAACCTAAGAGTTAGAAGTGATGAAAAAGATGAAGGCAAATACAAGAGGCTCATTATCGGAATCTCCCATGTCCTTGGAACTGGATGCATCTGACTTCTCTTCTTTGTCAGATTCCTTTTGGTTTATTGAGCTCTTTTCTCCCTCATCTGCTTGTTTCCCTTCAGAATCTGATTTCCCCTCTTTACTGGATTCCTCTGTGTCAGTTTGGCTTCTGTCTGTTCTTTCTATCTGTTTCCCCCCTTCAGAATCTGATATTTCTTTGCTGGATTCTTCTGCATCTAGTTGGCTCTTCATTGCAGTACCTTCAGAGTCTGACTTCTCTTCCTTGTCTGATTCTTGTGCATCCACTGGACATTCCTCTGCATCTTCTACCACTCCTTCAGCAACTGGCTTCTGTTCTTTGTCAGATTCCTCTTCATCTGTCTGGTTTGTCTCCAACCTTTCCACTTGATTCTCTTCAGAATCACCTTAGAATAATAGTCAATGAAATATACCATGGATTTTTTACATATTTTAGAAATAGGAGTTCAACAGGCCATTTGACGTTTGACCTAAAGGCACAACTAATGGTGTCAAATCACAACTGTAAGGTGACTTGGGTGACAAAGTCCAACCCAACACTTTATGTGATGGGCGACTACGTGACACTACCTGCTTATTGTGAGGTAAGGCAACATATATAAGTGTTTGGTATTTCATTGAAAGTATAACAAGATAATGAGAAAAAGGCAGTGTACATTCTTTCAAGATTATACTGTCTTCATAGGAATTTTTATTTATTAGCATGTATGTGAACAATAACAACTTCTCCAGACAATTCAGATTCCAGGTATTTTTTTTCCTCTGAGGGGAGGGGGGGGACTCCACTTTCAGCTTCAGTTTCACATCATGAAATGGTATTCTTCTAGACCAAACCACAATAGTATAACAAGTGCTTACGACTCATTATAGAACTCAGAATTTAAACTAAACTTGGATTTAATTCCTAAAAGCAAACTAACAAAAAGAATCTCCTAATCTTTCATTAAATGTCACACGGTGTCATTTGATAAAATCATTTCAGGGCCACATTCTACCAATTTTCAGACCAAATGGTCATGCTTTGACCTTGATGAGGATTCAACTCTTTGACATGCTTTAGATTTCAAAAGAAACTCCCTTACAACATTTAACAGGTTAACCATGATTGAAATGGTTTAAGTGAAGACAATGAAGATAAGATCAGTTGACTGAGAGAAGTAAATTAGATTTCTGAATGCCTTATTGGTGTTAGACAAGTTGATCTGCAAATCAACCTCCTTGATTTCAAAATTGGTATCAATATGACAAGTTTTATTTTCCAATAGCAGAATGCAGAGGATGTTCCTTGCACAATATCATGTAATCCTAGTTCTACACAAAGGAAAGTTGGTCAGACTATTAGTTTTAATCTAATGGTCAACCTTCAGGCAAATCAAGCCTCTACGGTTCATTTTGAGACAGAATGCACAAACACCTTCATCAGGATGGAGCAGATGCAGCTAAGAATTGGAGAAGTCAAAGATCCCATAAACTCACCTTCACTGAAGTCAGCATCAACTTTACTTTCTAGTACAACACTATTTTCTTGTTCCACATTTCTTTTGCCAGTTATTTTCCTTCTGTTTCTAGAAGATGAAGATCTGTAATCCAAAATAACATTTCATAAGGCAATAAGAGAGATATTCCTGTACATATCAATAACAAAAAGAGAAAAGAGAAAAGAGAAAAGAAAATGAAAAGAGAACAAAAATCTGCTCACTTTTTAGTGGATTTCTTATTCTGTCTTGATTGGCCTGGAGCCCTGTTTCTTTTCTTCTCAGATGATCTGTAAAATGAACGACATAAGTAATAAAAATAAGACATTTCAAAGAAAAAATACCTTTTGGAAATTCAGTTACACCCAATGCATGCAAGAACCTTAATGAGACCAGTTGAAAATGATTGCAGCAAATCCAAACAAAAACCAATTCCTACTGCTAAAAAAACCTTCTTCAGTAATTTATGAGTGGATTAACTAACAATACTTACATTTCTTTAGAAGGAGAAACATTTGGTAACTTTAGATGCTGCAGCAGATGTAAAAAATACAAATGCATCAGAAACTAATACAATTGTTAACTCTTCCTAAAGTAAAACAAGAGTGAAACAGCTCATAAGATACAATTCTTGATAACTAAAATTTTCAGACCTTTCTAGGCTGATAGCCTTTATTAATAAGCTCCCAACGCTCTTTTTTTAACAGGAGTACTTCCATGTCTCCATCATCATACAATATCTTCAAAATGCAAAATGATCAAATACAGATTAACAAAAAGCAAAATAAAATAATTGTTAATTAGGACTCTTCTATCAGATAAATACGAACATAAATAAATTAAAAAAATGCTCTAGCTTTACCACATGCTTCTTCTTTCCTTGGTCATAAGATTGCACGACACCTTCATAAAACCTGTGAATATTAGCAACAAAGATTATCACAAAGACAATCAAAATAAGCACATTTCAAAACAGGGCATACAGTATCTTTCGTGACAAGATAGAATCGTGATACTGCTGTTACAAGTTGCAACAGTCCAGCTTTTTATTTTGGAAGATATATAAACCGGTTTACCCATAAGATCAAGCTATGGAAGGATAAGATCAAATGAATAAAAGATTTGGTTGCACAAGCAGTGAGAAGTGTATAGTATGAGCTAGAAATTAGGTACATATAGATATAGACAATGATTTTGTTGTTTGTTGCTGTTGTTCTTTAAATCAATAAGTACAATGTTTAATGTCAATGTAACAAAAAAATGTTAATGTAACCATTCAGATCGAAAATCCCCTATACAAAAAACAGAGAGGTCCTCAATTTGGTAAAGAATTCCCAAGTAAAGCTCATATCTCAATAAACCCTCTCTTGTCAGGTTATACACAATACATTTAGATGCTCTAGCCTCTAGGCTCTCAAATAGAAGTCAACTAGAAGAAACCTGTGCATCGCATGGGCTGGTGATAAAAAGATGCCCATTTACATTCAGTTTCTTAACTGAATTGGTTGTGGATGAGTTTAAAACTTTAAATAGCCCCATACTTAATTTTATAGAGGGAAGCCCAGTGCATGAGACTCCCGCTAAGTGGGATCTGGGGAGGGACAGATGCTCGCAACCTTACCCTGCACATACAGAGAAGCTGTCCCCAAGATTTGAACCCTGTGTCTGACCTCTTAGATTTAATACTATTAGGTAGTATTTTGCCAAACTCCAGCATCCTAGATAGAACTCCTTCCATCTGAATTGAATTAAAACTCTTTTAATTCTCCCTCGAATGTGAATGACAGTGTTTAGTAAACCAGACCGGACTGGCCGGTCGAACAGTGACTGGACCTATGTCTGGTTGGTTGTACCCTAGAAACCAGATTATATAGGAAACCGGTTAAAACTGGATGACCCGCCAAGTTAACCAGAAAACCGGTGAACTGGTCCTGGTTGGGAGGTTTGAACCCATGACCTTTATGAATATTTAATGCACATATTGCTTTAATACATATGTATTTTAAAGAAAATGCAAGTTGGGAGGTTTGAACCCTTGTCAATTGCTTTAAAAGTTAAAGAACTAACCATCTATCCATCACATTTAAGTACAAAAATATTTGTATAATATATTATATATAGTATTTATATATGCCATGTCATCACAGTTTGACTTCCTGTTTGACTGCGGTTGAACCTCTAACCTGTGAACCTCTCCTTTTTTTGATTCTATGTATGGTCCAGTTTTTTGAACATTGGTGAATAATTGATCATTATTCACAAGGGCTCCACAGATCACGAGTGACACGTAGAGGTGATCATGGTTCAGTTAACTGAACCATGAGCTACTTTTTGGAACTGAATGGTATCACCGATTTTTGAAAAACTGTGAACCGAAACTGAACCGTAACCAATTGGCTAACTGGTTGATCACTTCAGCTTTTGACTAGTTCAATTCTTTGGTTTCTAGTCTTTTATACTTTCAATATATATTATAAATACTACAATTATGTATAATATATATTTATATATAATGCATATATATATATATAAATATATAAATCTATATATTTTATATATAATATATAAATATATACCGGTTGACTCGGTTAACTACCAGTTTTTCTTTTAGGTATATAAGCATATACCAATACCACCGGTTTTTGCAAAACACTGAACCAATCGGTTCGGTTAACTAGATTTTTTGGTATGGTTCAGTTTGGTTTTTTGGTTTTTGTTAAGTACCCCTAGTGATACCTAGTCATATGTTATGATCACCCTAATTGTTTGAATTCGGTAGATCGAGCCTTTCCATCTACAGTTACCATGTAGTCAGATCGGATCCTTGTATCATACAATGTCCAGAAAGAGCAAAGGACCATGGTGAATATGTCAAACCCTACTAATTCAATCACATCTCCCATTGAATTGATGATGACTCATATGGTGACAATTGAATTCTTTCATAAACCATACTGCCTTGGCCAAAGATTTCTTGAGACATCAATTTCATCCGCATAAGACTTTTTTTTTTTTTTTTTGATCAATAACAGAAACTTCTATTAATAAAAGGATATGGAAAAGATACAACAAGAAGGGGGTAAAATCTCTTACCCCACCCAAAAAACATCACATTACAATACAGCCCAAAAGAAACTAGTTCTTCCCACCCCTTGTTTAACTAGATAATCTGCAAAAGAATTGGCGCTCCTCTTGGACCACTGAAACTGAATTTGCATGTCTTGAGTGAACTGGAAAATTTTCTTTTTTTCATTCGATCCGCATAAGACATTCTCCCTCATGGAGAGTGGTAGATTCCATTTTGTGCATTCACATACATCCATGCATAAAACACTATAGCTGACATGTGCACGCTTAAATCCCTTTGTTAGGGCACAAGTGTTTGCACTATCAAACTATAACATCTCATACACTAGCCAATTAGCCATGATGCCTCAGGTCTAAGGATCATCCACATAACTGTGATGATAGAAATAGTTATTGACAATTGTTTTCATACAACCATTCTACTAATGGGTCAAGTTCAATGAACTTGTTCTCTAACAAGCACCCACATTTTCTTTAGTGTCTCCACACAAGTGACTTGAGATACATCACCCCTTAAGGCGAGTATAATATGTGCCAACCTACCCAGACTATCAAAGCTCTCTTGATAATTCTATGACCAGAAATAGTTTTAGGATCTTGTACCAATGACAGGCATATCTAAATTTCTTAACATACTTAAGAATAAGCCAACTTGACAAAGATACTATGGACTATTCATGTAATTATAAGCCAAAAGACAAATGAAAAATACCCAAATTGTATGTAAGTATGAATAGTACAAGACTGCGCTTTTACACTGTCACTAGATTGGTTTTAGGGCATACGACTAACACAGGCTGGTGTTAAAAGATTACCATGTTTTACAGGGGAGCGATTACAGGTTTCCTAACAAAAAGGAAACTTAATTGGTTGTGAGTAGCCCATGTTTTATTTATTTTTATTTTTTAAATAAAAAAACACAAAATTCTAAGGGGGTAAGGAAGCAAGGGAGAGTAGGCTCACATGGAGGACTGCATTTTAGAATATAGTAATAGATGAACAAGAAAAGGAAAATGGTGATTGATTGATTCCATTGACACATTTTTTAATTGATAGCATAGCGACACTTGCCACATGCTGCAATGAAGAGGATGCCTACCATTCATATGCTTCAAGGTGGCATTGGATATTTGGAGTTTTTTTTATCCTTATTCTAGAAGGGCTGTTTACACCAAGAAGTTAGCAAGATTTTGCAGCAAGAGTAGCAGTTGAGTTCCCTAGCCCCCAATTATGTGGGCATTTATGATTGATAAATTTTATCCTTTATAAAATTTTGAAAAAAAAAAATCTTTTAAGTGAATTGCCCACAAAGATATGCTGAGTTCCCTAGTCCCCAATTATGTGGGCATTTATGACTGTGATAAATTTTATCCTTTATAAGATTTTGAGAAAAAAAATCTTTCAGGGATGTATATTAAAATATACTGGAGGTTGTGAATAAATTCCATAGAGATTCTCTTTGAATATAGGATATTGTCCCAATAACTCTTATGTGTGCATTTTCTTTTTAGACAAGAACATGGCTAATATTATATTTGCATGGATAAGTGGCAAAACAGGAAAGACAAGAAAAAAATAAATAAATGCAATCAAGGGATGAAGCGGTAGGTAATAAAATAAATGCTAACTATTGAGATGATTTGTTAATATCAATGAAGATAAATAATATGGAATGCTTAAGAGCAAGCATTGGACAAGGTGACTTGAGCCCAACCCCCTATGTAAAATAGAGTTTGTGGACAAAAAAAAGGCCCAAAGTTGAGTTTGGGATTTTCTTCAGGTTGATATATATATATATATATATATATATATATCATATAGTTAGGTAGATATGTATATACATATATGTGGTTACCTAAATATAAGATAACATAGTTGTATAAGCACCTAAAATTTTGGTGTATACGCAGTTATATAACCATACAAAACATACAACAAATGGTTCTTGAGATGAGGCCCAAAAGAAATAATTTAAGAATTTATAGATTTCACAAAGTTCAGTTACAAGCTTGGGCTAGCCTGAGACTCAAACATTAGCCTGGGCTAGGTTGACCTTGGTCTGGCAAGGCCTGAGCCAATGATCATCCCTATTAATGCTATAGCGCAGGTTGAAGGCCCAAAGACAAAGATGACCAAAATATATGGCTTACAGTCCTGAGGAAAATATTGAGAAAACATAAGATAATAAGGGTATGACACTATATAGAACCGAATGTAAAATAAGAATTAATGTAGCCAACCTTGATGATTATGATTTCATTCAGCCATGTTCTGACTAAAAAGAAATTATCAAACTAATCATATTTATATGCATACGAACCTAGAAAAGAAAATATATATATTGAAGAAAGAACATACTGCTTATCCAATGGCCACCAAACTTTTATTCTTTTCCCAATTAGATTTGCACCATGATCCCCACTTTCCTTCAAAGAACACTGCACAGCACAACAAAGAACCGGTCAGTCAAATTATGGCATTTTCCTTTTTGTTAAGAAGTTGGACTTCAATTTGTGTCCTTGTCACTGTGATGCAGTATGTAACCATTTAGATTATAAGCCCAAACCAAAAATATGTAACATTTCATTACAGGAACACTACTAACTGTGCTGAAGTTGCAATACAATTTAATTAAGCACATTTGTAGCACAAATCAAGAGAACAACAATAACATATTGCAATGTAGAATGATCAAAAGGAATTTTGGACTTTGCAGTTTAGGGGATAATTTCAAGAATCCACATAGGAAATAAAAATAAAAATTCGGTTTCAAGAATAAAGGCTTTCAAACCAGAAACCTTTGAAAGCAGTGAGAAATGAGAATAGATGACTAGAATCAAAGGGTGCTGGAAACTTTTAAACAGGTGCCATACCATGTGGAAAGGCCAATGGAAAAGAATAGTGAGGTACCACTATGGTCCACCTTTCAGCTCCTTCTGTCTTCCCATGAATTTAATGGGGGAAATACAGCTGATGCTAGACAGCAAACAAACAGCTGTTTCAACTTCTAATTACTGCCAGTCAGTCTTCAAGTGTAATAAGGTTACATTAGGAGAGACTTAGTAGTTTGTTCGCACACCAAACTCTTACAGAGTTTGATTCTAACACAATTGTCAGCTTTAAGGTTATCAGCTTCTTGAAACTTTTACTGTCTTCTTAACTTTCCTTCAAGCACTTACATGCCCGTAGCCTTGTTGCTTACACTTAACATATCAGTTCTATTTCTTCCAGAAACCATTTTAAAAATTTTGTGATATTCTGAAAATATAAACACTTCTAAAACAAACACCCTACATTTTCCATGCCTTGGCTTAGTGGAAAGCAATGTTTTAAAACGCGGAGGCATGACGCGAGGCATTCCACTACCTAGAGACGTGAGGCGTAGTTCAGAACGCAAGAGGCGTAAGCCTCCTTAAGAGGAGGGGGGTTAGGAGGAGGATAAAGAGGAGGGAGGCAAAAGCCTCCCTTTCCTTTTCTTTTCTTTTCTTTTTTTTCCTTTTCTCTTTTTTCTTCTTTTTCTTTTTCTTTTCCTTCCCTTTCCTTTTTTTTTCCTTTTTTCTTTTTTTTGTCTTTTTATATCAGATGTGCATGAGGCGCATGAGGCAGTATGCCTCTAGCACGCCTCATGAAAAAAGCGCAAGAGGCATACGTCTCTTGCACCTGAGGCATACACCTCAGAGGTGTCAGCGCCTCTGAGTAGAACCAAATGTAAGTTCTAACATGCAAAACTTACATTTGCAATGAGTAGAAAATCCAAAAAATGGGCCTACCACATGAAGTATTACCATTTTGTGCAGTTGGAATCTTGGAGGCTATCAGCAGCATATGGGTAGGATGGTTATGGATTGTTTTGACCTTCAATCCTCCCCTCCCCCAAGAAAAAGTTATATTCTTATTAAGGTTCAAAACAAGAAGGATTTCTTCTTTTTTTTTTTTGATAATTAACTGTATTATATAACTAAAAGAAAGATAAACCCAAATCCATCCAGAATAGACAGATGGGAGGTACAAAGGCAGCACCAAGTTGATCGTGCAGAGGTAACTAATACAATAAACAGATTACAAATGGACCCCTGGCCCAGGCAATCCTCATTCACACCTCTAACAGTTTACCCCCAGCTCAAGCTAAATGATCAACTAGGGAGTAAGCTGATCTTGGGACCCACTTGAACAAGCAGTTCAGGTTTCTTCCCAAATTTTTAGTCTCCCTAACCAAAACTCTAAACTTCCAGGCTGGTTCGTCATCAGAGTTAAGCCAAGAAATGACCACTTTACAATCACCTTCAATGATAACCCCCCTCCAATTCTGCAATACCAATAGTTGAAGTCCTTGTATTGCCGCTAACAGTTCAGCCCTCAAAGAAATACCAACACCATCTATGCCATAGAAGCTTAGTTTGATATACCCAGTGAAATAGTTTTCGAGGCGCCAAGGCAAGGCTAGGCAACAGGGGGGGTGTCTTATTGCCTAGGTGGGCGCCTAGGTGATGGATTCTTAAATAAAAAACATATATCCTCGGGTAGTTCCCTAGGTTCCATAACCATATTTGCTTAATAATTATCCATAATTTTCATAAGAAAAGTACAAACTTCATGTTAAAGTATAGAAAATCAACATGTTCATAAGAAAAAGAAGAAAAGAAAATTCAGAAAATATGGGGGCTGATCCCCTATTTTGTTATAGGAAAAGAAGAAAAGAAAAAGTGGAAGAAGTTGCCTAGGCACGCCTAGGCATAGCCTTGACCCAGTCTCATCCCTTACCACACCATCAATCCCAGATCCACCAGGATTGCCTAGGCATCAGCCATAAAAATTCAACTTGAGATTGCCTGTTTAAGGGGCTGCCAGTCCATGATCACTCTTGGTCTTCCCATTGGCATTCCTGTGATGATTTTCCATCCTCTTAAAATGTCATCCACTGTTATATTATTGAACTCTACTAGCACTCAATGGGCCACCCTTATCTTAATCAGGTCAACCAAAACACCCACCCCCCAACTCCTTATTTTCAAACACCTTGTGTTTCTCTCCCCCCATATGCTCCATAAGATTGCAGCTCTTATACAGTGCCGCAACAACTTCATTCTCTTGGTGATACACCACAGTAGGTTATAGGTATTAAGAAAACAGCTCCATAACATTTTGAGGGGCATTCCAAGACTTAAAACAAGATGAAAAAGTGGTTCCAAATCTGGCAAGTATAGCAAAAAGATAAGAAAATGTGATTTTTGAGCTCTCACCACTTTTTAGACACAGAACGCGCACATGTGGGGATAGGCACCAAGATTTCCTTTTCCTTTGAACACTAACACTTAATAATTCGGAGAGAAGCTTCCCAACAGAACACTTTGGCCTTTGGGGGAAAGGACCAATCCAAATGTCTTTCCAAGGAAAAGAAAGAGTGAGACTGGGATTGAGAGGACGGGGCGGGTTTTTTGACCACTAGTCAGGGTTCGGGGAAAACCCAAAACTCTGAGGGTCGGGGACGGTATTTGTCCACCCTCCCCCGACTATATTATATAACATAATACATGCTAATGTATATTATATCATATTATATTATTATATATTATATTACATAATAAAATATAGTTCTAGGTAGGTTTCAAAAAAATAAAAAATAAATAAATTTGTAAGTATACAAGTAAGAATGACTGGGGAAGGGAAGGGCAAAGTCGAGGATCCCCGTTCCTCGGGGCGAGGAATTTCATTTCAGGGTCGAGTACAGGGCAGGCGAAACCTGGCCCTGCTCCGCCCCATTGCATTCCTAGATACACCAGGAGTGATAAGCTGTGTTGCATATCTTGTTTCTAGCTGAGCCAGAGTCTTATTGACAAGGGTCTCTTCTTTCACTAATCAATGCTTCTTGATTGTTATTGATAAAAAAAGTTCAAACCAAACCCAACAAAAGTTGGCACATGGTCAGGTTAGTCGGAGCTTGTTTTGTAAATTAGAATCCAATGGGCCTCTAGTTAGGTATACGTGATCAATTGTCATTTTGGTTGATGGCATGGGTTGACCTTGATTTTCAGTTTGAGTCAGGCCTTATGACTTGACTATTTCCACTCCCTCAATATTGAGCCCATGTTAACACCAAAAACACAGAGGCATGAGGTGAGGTACCAGGACTTTTAGATGTGTGAGGCATATACCTCATGATTACCTTCTTTTTAAGAAAACATGAAACTAAAATGATGAAAAGTCTAGAAACATGTGTATGAGTGTGTTTTTATATAGGAAGAGCATAAATAATGAATCAAGAACAATAAGAATATTAGGATCTTTAGAATTAGAAAGAATCATCCGAGTTCAGCATTACTGTTTCCAATAAAAAATGATAAGTGAAAACCATTTAATAACTATTAAAAAGCTCTATATTTCTTTGCAAAACAGGGGATGCATAAGTCTGAATTATTCTGGGCTCAGTTGTAATCTGTTTAATGGCCGGGGCTGCATCTTGTGCCTCTGCTGGATGTACTCTGTAGTCTGTAATCATGTGATACTTAATTATGCTCTAATAAAATTTCTATCATTTACCAAAAAAAAACTATTAAAAATCTCTAGATGCTATTAATGCCTCAGAATGGTTATCCATATGAAGCATATATACAAGCACATATGAATATATTCTCACATAAGGCAACAAGGTGTGTAGAATGTGCCTTACACTTTTATGCGTAAGATTAAAGTTTAACTTTGCCTTAAGGTAAGCATCAAGGCTTTAGTCTCAAACACCCGTTAAGACACTGGTTAACATAATTACCTTCACAGAATTGGACTTGGGTTGTCCTTCACCTATCCATGTGATTAGAAAGCATTCTAGTCTAGACAGACAAGAAAAGTCTTTTACCTGATTAAGTTATCAAACTATCAACATACCCTGGTTTCAAGGAATGATATCTTTTTAACACCTTTTCCAAAACCGGTCACAAGTTAGTAGGTTTGTACCAATATCCTATGAGCAGTGAACAATCCAAAATCCAAAGATAATATGGTATTAGAGCAATAATGCAGAAGTACAATGATAATATCTTATGAAGAGAAAAAGAAAAGAGCAATAATGCAGAAAAGGATGAAAGGACAGAAGGACCTTCGCCAATCCTGCAATGCTTCTTCTTTTTCGCTTCTTGATATTTCCTGTTGAGGCTTCGCTATTGGCAATTGAATTAGCCTTGTCAGTTTTAAGCACACTTGACCTCTGCAAGAATAGATAGGATAATTCAAAACATGGAGAAGCTGGAAGCCATATATTGAGTGGTTTGATAAACAAAAATCTCACCTTCAGTGCATGAATCTCAGTTCTTCCAACTATATGTGATGTTTCTTTCAATTTCTGACCAGTAATTTTGCCTATACTTTTCATTGGCAAGCATGAAGCCAGCAAATCTGACTTGGTGGTTTTAATCATTTTTTTCTTTGTTGACATTTTATCTTCTGAACCAGTGTTTGTTTCTTCATATAATTCAATAGATTTCTCAGAAGACAGCTTTGTGTGATTTGAATTGTTCCCTGAAGTTTTCTTCAAATCCATTGAGGAACTCAAACGAGATGATTTGTGAGCATCATGAGCCGACAATGACCTCCGCCGTTTTGGTATTGCCATAGATATTGAGTCACCAGTTTTTCCCCTTTTCCTTTTCTGTTGTTCAGGAATTTTATCACTGACAGTCGCATCATTCTCTTTTCCTCCACTCACAAAATACCGATGACCATTGCCTGATTCCAAGTCTTTTGATCTTTCCAGATTATCCAAATTTATTTCCCTCACCATTCCCAAAATATCAACATCATTATCTTGATTTTTTCTTTCAGCTGTTAAAGCCTTATTCTTTGCTATTTTTTTTGTTTTGGCCCTTTGAGATTTCAAACGTTTTATCATCTTCCCAAGGGGCACTTCGATTTCATCTCTATCACTAGCTTTCAGAACATTGTCATCCTCAGGATTTTCTGAAGGAACCTGATGGCATCATAGGGTGGCAACTCAGTGAAGTTAATTACACAGATAAAAATAGTTTTAGAAAATCACCACATTTAAAGAATTATTAGATTGAATATTGGAATGTAGAAACTACCATTGCATCAGTTTCCAGTTCGATAGATTCGAGATGGGCCAAGACACTATCACCATACAACCACATTTGCTTCTCACTGGTCTAAAAGGAACATGCAACAGAATGAAGATGCACGACATCAATGGAAATAATAAGATCAATTGAATATAAGCAGATAAAAAACTAAGGAATGATCAATGATCAAAAAACAAAGGTATGTTAATGCCATTCTGAAATTTCCTTGACTCTATTATACCAAAAAGTTCAGAAAACAGAGTTTTTTCATCATTCCAGGACATAATTGTCAAGGTGTTACCTAGGTAAAGCACCCTTGGTTGGATACCTTGCCTGAACACCATAGTTTATATAAAAAAGGGAACCAGTCTAGGCAACTAGGTGCACACCTAGATGACAAAAATCACAAGGCAAGTATCTAAGGACTGAGGAGGTGCCTTATTGTAATATTTTAACTCCAGATTACCATGGCTTACTATATATGTCAATACATCTTATCATATGTCAAGTATATAATTTGTCATTTTAAGAATTTTACCATTAAAACATAAACGATCAAAATTTTTTAAGAGAAGGATAAAGTATTTTTCTTCTTTTTTTTTCAGTCTTTCTATCTCTTACATTAAATAGAAAAAGAGCTCTGCTGGGGCCACCACATGGTGTAATGGTAAAATCTTGGGCTGTCAAGCATGAAAAAACAGGTTGAAGTCAGAGAGTGGCCACTTTCTGTGAAAATGATGAGCCCAAAAAAAAAGAAAAGAAAGAAGAGTAAAAAAGTAAAAGAAAGAAAAAAAAAAAGAGATGTAAAATATTCTGAATTTGTCTGCCCACATCAAGTGGTACTGATATGAAAAAAATAACAACCAACGAAGGGAAGATTGAATAGTACAAGCCTTACAATCCAATCAAGGTCATGGTGTTCAACTTCATATTTTCTTTTTAAAGAAGGTAAAGTATTGTATTGCAAAAAGAAACCAGCTACATCAGCCCATGTACAATGAGGACCTGTACAATGGGAATTTAAAAAAAGATATGAGAAATCAGATAAACAATGGTCCAGCTTGCAATAAAGAAAAAAGCTGAACTCCAGTGAAAGCTCTTTGTACACTTGACTAGGAACATAAAAAATCTATAACTTTGTTTTTGACTGAAACTATGTCATTGGAAAGGTTGTCAAAAATTCGGCTGTTCCTTTCCTTCCAAAGGGCCCAAAGGATAGCAGCTGGAAAAATCTTCCAAAGCAGCTTGCCTCTTACATTCAGGCCCTCTAAGGTCCACCCCTGAAGAAGCTGTACGACAGAAGCAGGAGGGCAAAAGAAAACACCAAAACAGGAGAGAGCCATATCCCAGAGCTACTGAGAGAAGTTGTAGTGAATAAAAATATGGCTGGAAGATTCAGGAGATTCATTGCAGAAGGGACAGTAGATACTAGGAAGCTGCATCCCCCTTCTGAGTAGCCGATCTGTGGTTAGGCACTTATCAAGTGCTGCAGTCCAAACCAAGGGAAGTCTCCATCTTCACCGGCCATAAGGTTGTTGTAGAAAGACTTAGGCCCCATTTGGTTCGTTGGAATAGGGGTCTGGAATCGGAATCGGAATGGGCTATTCTGATTCCAACTGTTTGGTTGGATGGTATTGGAATCCCATTCCCATTTCTGATGGAATAGCATTCCCCCATTTGAGGGAATGGCCATTCCCTGCCCCTCCCTTGGGAATGAAATCCCATTCCTGCTGATTTCAATTCCCATTCCATTCCTGTCTGAACCAAACAGACTATGGGAATGGACCATTCCGATTCCGACTCTGGAGGATTCTGATTCCGACTGCAAACCAAACGGACCCTTAGAGGAGAAAATGCCGGAAGTCTCCCAAGCCCAAAATCTTTCATCATCTGCCTGCGGGTTGGGCTTGAAGCTGCGAATAAGGCTTAGAAGATCTGTTAGTGGACCTATTTCCCAATCATTAACATTCCTTCTAAAGATAGAGCTCCAAACAACTTCATCATTCCTCAAATCAAAGCAATCTTCCACTACAGCATCTTTATCTTGTGCAATGTCAAAAAGAGAGGGGAAACTTTCTTTTAGAGCAGTGCCCTCACACCACTTATCATACCAAAATTTAAGGAGGTTGGCCTTGCCAACTTTGCATTTAATTCCCTTTAGGAAAATCCGGGGAAATAGAGACATCATTGCTCCACAAAGCACAACCCCTTGGGAGAGAGCCAGGGCCCGACTCCCAAACTAGATTTGTGAGCCCATATTTATCTGCAACAATTCTCCTCCAAAGGCTGAATCTCCAGCACCACTTACCAAGGAGAGCCTTGTTAACAGCTTTAATATTTCTGATTCCTAAACCACCAATTCTCCTTGATTTGCACACAGATTTCCATCTAACCAAGTTAAATTTGGGATTGTTCTTCCACCCAGCCCATAAAAAGAGTCTCATTTTCTTCTCTAGAAGCTTTGCAACACTAGCAGGAATCTGGAATAAGGAAAGATAATAGATTGGGAGTGAAGATAAGACACTCTTAATTAGAATTATCTTACCTCCCTTTGAAAGATACTTAGATTTCCACATTGCCAATTTTCTGTCAAATCTGTCAATAACCGGGTCCCAGATATTCTTAGAGCCGCATTTGGCTCTGTTGAGTTTTGGGCTGATGTTACTTGTTTTTATTTACATAACATAGTTAGGGAGTTATTGGGCCTTAGGCCCATTAGTTTATTTTTAAGTTAGAGTGCTTATTCAGTTCTTAGAAGTAGCCGACTTAATAAGGGCACACTTGTCTTTGTACCCTCTTTTATTTGTGAGTATATAATCTAATGAAAGGGGCAGCCAGACCTAATTTTGGCTTCTCCAATTTCTCTTCTATCTCTCTTCTCTTTCTTTCTCAGCTGAAACCCTTTCTTCTCTTTCTTTTCTTCTTTCTTTTACAGTTTTTGAGCTACTCCATCATGCAGCCCTAGATTGGTTGACTGCATGATGAGGTAAAGGGCTGACCGAAGACTTCAGGTAAGCCCAGTTTTTGGATTTTTTTTGGTGGATTTGCAATCCCTTGTAGCTGGACTAGGGTTTAACACCAAAATTAGGAAGAATTGGATAACGAGGGAGAGTCCCGATTTTGGTAGGACTCTTCAATTTTGACCTAGGAAGTGGCGCTCTATTTCTAGGGTTCCTTGATGTTTTTTGAAGGGGACAGTTCCAAGTCCCAAGCCTTTTGGAGGTCTCTAGAGGGAACGACAACCTCTTCTCTCTCTTCTCTCGCTCCCACAGAAAAGGGAATCTTTAGAGGGAGGGGCTTCTAGGGCACCAGGAAGGTGTTTGAGGTTTCTAAAGGAGATAAACACCTTTCTTTTCATCTCAAATTGATTTCTATTCTGGGAGTTATGGAGGGTTGTGGAGTTGAAAACAAATTTGCAAGTGAAATGGGATCTAGGGGAGGTGTTAAAGGCCTCTTTAGGGCCGGGACCATCACTACAGTTAAGTTGGATGGTACAAAGTACTTAGAATGGTCACAATCTGCAAAGATGGCCATTGGTGCTCAAGGGAAATTGGGGTATGTCACCGGTGAGGAAAAGAGACCTAAAACTAACCACTCCCGATGGGTATAGAAGAACTACATGGTGATGGTTTGGCTATGCAATTCCATGTTACCCCATATAAATAAGAACTTTTTATGGGCTAACACAACTAAGGAGATTTGGGGTGGAGTAGCAGAAACCTATTCACAGATTGAGAATGTTGCTAGAGCCTAACAGTTGAGAAACCACGTGATTGCTACTAGGCAGGGAGATAAGTTTGCTGCTATTTATTTTTCAGCTCTCAAAACCTTATGGCAGGAGATAGATCATCTAGAGATTGTGGTTTGGGAAAGTAGCAAAAATGCAACAACTTATCAGAAGCTAGTAGAGAAGAATAGGGTTTTTGAGTTTTTAGCTAGACTTAACCCTGAGTATGATATTACACGATAGCATATTCTTTCTTGAGACAGTGTAACTCTCTCTCTCTCTCTCTCAGGCATATGCTTTTGTGTCCGGAGAGGAGAGTAGGAGGAATGTGATGATGAGAAGAAGGAGGCATGTAATGAAAAGTTATCAAAGGGACAGAGAAAGTAAATGGAAAAGAAAAATTAATTCTTGGAGAAGGATGAGAAGCTAAAATCACAATTCTTGTGGAATTATGAACAAACTCTTTAGTGCATTCTGATGTTTGGGGTCCAAATAAAATAGTGTCATACAATGGTTATAAGTATTTTGTAATTTTTGTTGACGACTTTTCAAGGATGACATGGCTTTACCTTATGAAAGATAGCAGTGAATTGTTCTCTATTTTTCAAAAAAATTATGCTGAAATACGTACCCAATTTGGAGTTCATATTAAAATTCTTCACTTCGATAATGCAAAAGAGTACACCTCAACACCATTTCAGCAATACTTAGAGCACCATGGGATAATTCATCAAACTTCTTACTCCTACACCCCACAACAGAACGGTGTGGCTGAATGGAAAAACCAACACCTATTTGAAACTGCTCGGTCCATTATGCTTAATATGAATGTCCCAAAGCGTTTTTGGAGTGATGCTTTCCTAACATCATGTTTCCTCATCAATCGGATGCCCATGTCCATCCTTGGAAATCAATCCCCTTTTTCAATTTTGTTTCCCATTTTGTCTCCATTTCCTCTTACCTCGAGAGTCTTTGGGCATGTTTGTTTTGTTCAAAATTTGGGGCTTATTTAGACAAGTTAGATGCACATGCTACTAAATGCATCTTCCTTGGATACTCCAAGACTCAAAAAGGGTATAAGTGCTATAACCCTAACTCTTATAAGTCATTTGCGTGTTCGGATGTCACTTTCTTTGAATCAATCCCATTTTTCTCAAGTATTGAGGTCCCGTCTCCTTCCCCCGTGGTTCCACTTCCTGTTCTAGTTGAGGACCCCCTTTCCATGGTTCCTGTTCCAGTTGTGGATCCCCCTCCCGTGGTTCCCGTTCCTTCCCCTCCCTCTCCCGTGCAGGTTACTACTAAGAGGCACCAATCCGCCAAGTGTATATTCACAAAAGAGCACCGGCCCCTCCTCCAATTC